TCTTCTCTATACATTCATAGTAAATTGTTACTGAACATTCTGTAAAGTCTTTTGCTGTTAGGAATTCTCAGAAAGTTTCTAATTGAAATTTTCTTTAGTTATATAACAATAATTTACGTTGCAAATGTTAATCAAGTCATTTACTTCAAATACATCAAATAAAAATGTGTATTTTTATTAGGTTTCTTTTGATACGACTTATAGTTTGACACTCTTACGATCTATTGTTTGGTAATACATATGATAAATTTAAATATTATTTACATTTTTAAATGTGGTATTTTAGAATGACAAATGTCAAAGATAAAATAGAAAAAGTAGAATAAATAATTAATTATTAATTTATTTAGATTACGTTTGTAACATCAATTATTGTAATGCTCGTAGATTCACTATTGTGCAGAATTGAGAATGATTCCCCGTTTCTTTTGAAAATATCAGATACAATTGCAATTTGCTTCTTTGTATGGTAATTGAAACGTAACTAGAAAATTTCTCTAAATAATATCAATATGAAACGAATTTAGTTTCATTTACATTCGTAAATATGATATAAATATTATGATAATATATTTATAGTGATATTATTCAATCAGCTTTAAAATTTTGCGTAAATATCTATTATATTGCATTAAAACTACTAGAGTTTTTTTTATTTAATTAGTTTTCTATATAATTTCTGCTTAGTTGTTAAATCTAATTAAAACGTTTTCTAGTAAATATGAGTAGATTTTGTTAATGACACAGTGGTCCATGAAATTTTGAAAAGGTTCGAAATAATATGTATATAAAATAACATGATACCCTATATTGAACATTCAATACAACTGTCTGTATCTGAAATTGAATTTAGAATCTAAAATCAATTTCCAAACAATTGGATTTGTCCAATTTTGGAGTTGCAAAGACATTCGTAAAAAATACATCAGATTATCAAATATAAAAAAAAACAAACATTTTAGCTTTTCATAGTTGATACTTGATTAATTATTTATTACGAGAAATACGAAATCGATTATATATTTAATATTAGAGTTAACTAATTTCAAACCTCATATAAAAAAGTATTATTAAAAAACATATGTTAATGGTGATTATTATTTATGTTACATTAAAATAATTATTATTTAATTATAATAAATAAGTCAACAAAGTTGTAAAATTGATATATATTATACAATATATATTATAATTCACCAATTGATAGTAATTCATTATGTTAACTTTTGTCTTTTTATTAATAGAATTGATTGGCAATGTGTGCTATAAATAAAATTAAAACTAAAACCAATAATAGAGCCTCCGCTTGTTTTCTTTACTTAGTAGCACCTCTGATATGCACGCCGCTACAATATTCTAGCTCTCCGCACTCTTCAACATTTCACTGATAATATTTTCTAGCTCTAACAGAACTCCCAATTCTGCCTCCGCTTCATGCTTACTACCAATCCATCTGCAGCACCTAAATAGAGTGTGCTCAGGGCTATCGTCTTCCTCACAGTACCAACATCTTTCATCCTCCTTCTTCGCGATGAAGTGCAGGTATTTGCCAAAACATTCATTTCCAGACAGCGCCTGGCTCAGGTGAAATATTGTTTCACCGTGCTTTCTGCTTAACCAGGACTCTATTTGCGGGATTAGGCGCCGAGTCCAAGCTCCTTTCTCCGACCTGTGCCATTTATCTTGTCATTTTTGAAGCAGTCTGGCTCTATCGTCCGTTTTGGTCGCGCCCCTCTGCCTTTCACCTCTCTCCAGAACAAGGAGCTCTATTGGTGATACACCAGCTATCACCTGCACTGCGTCTCGGGAAATTGTGCTATATTTGTTGTTTTGCTATTATCAAGAAGGTTAATGGCTAGAACATTAGTATGTGATTTCAGTCTGTTTCCTTTGTTTTATTATTGATATTATTTATTTGAGTATATATATTTGATATAAGTTTATACATAGATTTTTCATCTTCTTTCTTCAGCTCCGCATTTCTGTCAATTATGTCTGTAAAATTTCTAAATACTTCTTGTCATTTGTTTTATAATATCTGGATGACTGATGAGTTCAAATTGGCTTGTACTTCTTCAAAAAATGTAATCATTTTTGAACTTTTGAAAACAGTGTAAAATTTTTCTACGAGCTCATTTAGTTTATCGTTCATGCTGGAAATGTACTCACCTGTTTTTACACAATTCAACAACTTTGACATTCCCTTTTCCCGGAATTGTTTCAATAAATATGAAACCACTTCACATGTCATTCGTTTTTCATCAAAATCTATTTTAGTTAATTTAATTGTGTCCAATAAATCTTCGGTTTCCAATTTAGTGAGCCGATTGCATTTTCGATTTAAAATCGTTAAATTGTATTAATTATGGTATAAAATTCCGGGAATGGATGTAATATAATTATAGCTCAAATCCAACGTTTCTAACCTGTTCAATCCTGATAAACTTTCAAAATTAAATAAATCATCGAAGTTGCTAGTATTATTGTGCGATATATCTATTTTAATTAATGACATTAAATCATTGATACTTAAATGATTAACATTACAATCTATAAATTCTAAAACTGCAATATTATGGTGACTAAATAAACGTGAGCCCAAAATTGATACTATACTTAGTAATAATAATTTTATATTCTCTATGTATATAATTATGATAGTCACAGACGTGTTTAATGTTAATATCGAATTTAGTAGGTTCATGCAATGATTGAAAAGTACAAACATTATAGATATTACCATAAGGGGTTGTGCAAGATCCAATAACTTGGTGCACTAGGAAATGGCTCAAAATTAATATTAGATGTAAATTGAAACACATCACTTCCTACAATTGACATATTATAAATACTCGAAAATAGATATTTTAAGTTTGCTTACTTATTAAGTATTTACACTGTATCTAACAAAGTACTAATAACGACTCAGTGTTGCCATTGCCTTGTCTTATCTTAACAAAGAGCACAACAAACGACGAATATATTTGGAATTTTATAAACAAATTTTGAGATAGTTTTTTTTTTAATTTTTAATACCAATATATTGGAGGCAGTACTTTGCAATAAATCATTTAGAATTATATATAAAGCTTGAATATCATTTAACTTTGTTTTGACATAAGCTACAGTTTCATTTTAGTTTTTACTTATAAAATACAATTAATAATCAATGATTATTTTTTCAAGAGCGTTGGCAACATCGTTATTATTAGAATCGATTCAATTATGGTAATGATTGTGGTTTCAATTGTATAGATACATTTTCATTGCATTGTTTAAGATTTACAAAGCATGTAAGTGTTATTATAATTCTAGGTTTCTTTTAAAATTACCATATACCAACAATCAATTTTTTTATGATAATTAAAATGTAACTAAAAAAGTTAAAACAAAACATAAATATTATAATAATTTCGTTCCATAAATATTCTATTAATTTTGAAATGAAAACCAAAAAGAATATAAAAATAATTTAATTAATTCAAGTTTACTAAATGCAATATGTGAAAACCTTATTATTACCCTCATCAAAATGATTTACCTGCAAAACTAATTAAGTAATAATAAATCTCGTTGTTTTAACGTAAAATCTTGGCTTGTACTCACTTCTATTTAGCTGTCATATTTGCTCCATTAGTCTCTCATTTTTATTTAATATTAATATTTTTTCGATGTCATTTCCTAGTAAATGACATTTGCTAACAAATACTTAAAAATAACGCTTATAAAAATGCGCTATTTTTAATTAATAATATAAATAAAATGTATGATTAATGAGATTTTTTTAGGATTAAACACATGCATCATTTCCGTCGCTTAAAAAATTGCTTTCCGTTTTAGATTTTCCATATTCATTTATGCATTACCAGATAATTTACAATCCTTTCGCATGTTCACATAAATAAGGCCAGTGGTTTGTTGCGAGAGTAATAAAACAGCATTCATAATTGTGTGAACCGTCACGTCCCTATTTCGGTTTTAACTTACTTAATCCACTACAAGGAATGGCATACGCAACAACGTTTCTAAACAAGGAAGACGAAGTCATCTTCCTCTACAAAAAAGAAACAATGTTTGAATGGATTTCCTTTTGTGCAATATACTGCACACTAATTAAACATTAATTCTCAGCTTCCTGTTACCACTTGAAATGCGATCTATTTTTAAATAGATCGATTGCAGCTATATAATATAATGAGATTTTTTTCATATTGAAGTAATAAAATTATTATCCGATCCATTATTATTATATTCGTGTTTACTTTACTTCGTGGAAAATATATTTTTTTTTAAATAACGTTTGAAAGATTTTTGCTCAGAAGTAAATTATATTTTTAGTCTGTTTGATCCTCAGATTGTGGTTTAATTGTTATGTAATTAGGTGTTATTTTGAGAGGTGCGGATGTAATTTTTTTTAATGTTTTATTTTGGCGCCTGGTGCTAAACGAGGATTTTGTAAAGGAAACACGCACCTCGACGTGCTGGATGGAAACCTTGAGCGAAAAGAAAATAGACTTGATGAACCCATCTGAATTCGATCAATATTTGAGGGTCTGTAGTGTGCAAACTACGAAACCGTCCGCATCCGGTTTTTGTGATGAAGGAAACCCCGAAAGTATTTTCGGGAAAATAGTGAAAAGAAGGATTGCACGCAATTTCATAATTAATCTGATAAGAAGCTAACTTTCCTTCTCGCACTGTGGATATATTTTCGTTATATTTACTACAATTTTGATTGAATAATTTAGAGTAAATTTAAGTGCATGGCAATTAAAAGCGAATCACGTAAACGCTCTTGTAGATTCCCAGTCCGATATGAAGGACACGAAAAAGGGAACAAACTCTGGTCTTTCTCTGTATAGTCGTATGCTAATACTCATTGCCGTCTTATTTAAATTAGTTTTAGAATTTATGCAGAGCATATAATTTATTAAGGACATTATTTATTAATAAGTATATTATGATTTATATTTAGTTTTATTTTTATTATTTCTTTGCAGGATCTGATAATTTCGAAGGGCAAACGGAAAAAGCGCGTCTGGATCGTTGCTGGCCTAATTGTCCTTATTGCTTGTGCGATTGCCGTCGCAGCCTTTATACTATTGAAGCAGGAGGGTAAAGGAAATACACTTGGCTTGAGCCGAAATATTCCAGCTATAACGCTCGAAGATTTTCTTGAGGGGAAACTTGGCCCCCACAGTTTCAATGCCACATGGATTTCCGGTAATTAAAATTGCATCTATAATTTTTATTGTATAAAATTATGATTTTGGTTAAAATTAATTTTTAGGGAATGACTTAATCTACAGGGATCTACTTGGCAGCATTGTGAAATACAATGTGGTGAAAAGATCAATAACCGAACTGTTACCATCGTCGAGTAAAGTGAGCTGCTCAACATGCATTTTCTCTTTTGGTATTAACAGATTTTTGTTCTAGATTCTCTTGACCGCGTTTGATTACGAAATTTCCCCGGACCATAGATATCTTCTAATTGCACATGATTACCAGAAAGTATTAAAATTCGCTCTAAATCTTGAATCTTTAATTTTACTATTTTTTAATATTAGCTATATAGACACAGTTACGTGGCCCAATATACGATTGTCGATTTGGAAACTGGAGGGACTAATCCAGTATTGGCTAACAATGAGCACGTCCTGCAGTACGCCACTTGGGGACCTATTGAGAATTCTATAATCTATGTTGCTCGCTACAATATCTTCTATCGTGCTACAGCTGAACTGGAAGATTACCGGGTTGTAACTACAGACGGTTTGCACGGTCACATATACAATGGTATTCCAGATTGGGTTTACGAAGAAGAAGTGTTCAGTTCGAACAAGGCTGTTTGGTTCTCGCCGGATGGGAAGAAATTGGCGTATGCAAAGTTCAATGATTCCATTGTTCCTATTATGAGTATTCCAGTTTACGGTCAACCTGGAAACTTAGATTTCCAATATCCAAAAGGTGTGCAAATTCGATATCCCAAGGTAATATATACTTGTGTGAAAACTCGAAACGATAGTTATCTGATTATAATTATAGCCTGGAACGAAGAATCCAGATGTATCATTACATGTGGTGGATTTCACGGGAAATATTGAAGACATTGAACTGGAAGCGCCTAAAAAATTTAGGTCAGTACTGAATGAATGTAAATGCGTATATAAGTACAATGTAAAGTTATTTTAGCGAACCGATTTTGGCTGCGGTTTCATGGGCCTCTCAAGACGTCGTGTGTGCCATCTGGATGAACAGAATACAGAACGAGGCGGATATAGTGATCTACTACACCAACACTAAACCACCTAAATCTGAAACGGTAGATTCTTATATAATAAATAGGAAAATAACATGCAATTTGAATATTATAGGTAAAGCAAATTAAAGAGCCTCGCGGTTGGTTGGAGCTGTTCACGGCTCCAAAATTCTCTAAAGACGGTGGTAGAATGATTCTCATTTTATCACAAACGCAAAGTGATGCCGCCGGTTCCTTCAGACATATTACTATGCTTCCAAGGAACGTTGATGCTCAACCTGAAGCAATTACAAAGGGAAACTTCGTGGTCACCGAAATACTGTCTTGGGATGAAGATAACGAAATAATGTTTGTTGACATATAGTTTACGATAAATTAATTTGTAGTAATATATTGATTTCAGTTACTATTTAGCTAATACAGAACATGATCCTGGAATGCAACACGTATATTCTATTTCTTTGAAAACCAGAGTGGTTAAATGCATGAGTTGCGGTGTTAGGAAAGTGTCCGGCGCTAGAAGTGAATGTCTTTACAATTCAGCGATATTCAGTAAAGATAAATCGCACTACGTACTTCAATGCTTGGGACCTGGAATACCAGAAGTCTCAGTCTTCAACACTACAAACCAGAGATTGGTTACTTGGGAAGAAAACGAGGAATTGACAGAGTTAGTGAATGATAAAGCGATTCCAATTATTAAACGTTTTTCATTCAATGTCGCTGGAGGATTTAAAGCGCAAGTCAGCTTGAAGCTTCCTCCTAACATGGATATGAGCGGTAGTACTAAATATCCAATGCTTGTCAATGTGTAAGTAACTCAACTTTCAAAATATTAAAATTTGGTTTATATTTGTTTTTATTTTTTTTAGATATGGTGGTCCTGATTCTTATCAGATAATTGAAAGATTTGGATTAGACTGGGGAAGTTATTTAGCGGCCAACAAGAGTATTATCTATGCTTTAATAGATGCTAGAGGATCGGGATTGAAGGGTGATAATATGTTGTTCTCGGTTTATAGGCAGTTGGGTACTGTTGAGATTATTGATCAGATTAATGTGACTAGACAAATACAAGAAGCTTTACCTTATGTGGATAGCAGTAGGACGGCAATTTGGGGTTGGAGTTATGGAGGATACGCTGCTGGTATGGCGTTGGCCAATGATTCTGGCAATGTTTTCAAATGCGGCATTTCCGTTGCCCCAGTTACAGATTGGGCACTCTATGGTAATTATATTAGGTGGAAGTTATTTTTACTCTGTCTTATTATATTTTACGTAATTAACTAAAATTAACAATTTAACAATTTTGTCTAGATTCCATTTATACTGAAAGATTCATGGATATCCCAGCAAGAAACACGAAAGGTTATGTTAACGCACAATTATTGAATAAGTACGAAGGATTGAGGAACAAACAATATTACCTGGTTCATGGAACATTGGACGACAACGTTCATTATCAACAGTCTATGCTTTGGTCAAGAGTACTCGAAGAAAGGGACATCATGTTCAGGCAGCAAAGTTACACCGACGAAGATCACGGCTTGGGATCGGTGCGACCGCATTTATATCATTCACTTGAAAATTTCCTGGATGAATGTTTTGTTGTAGAAAAATAATTTATTATCTCCCATTTCCTTTACACGTTAAAAATAATTATATTCAAATATATTTTTTTGTTACAATTATCGTCTTGTTTATTTAAAATATTTTATTGAAAAATAATGTTTTAATGTTTAATCCTGATGAATTAATGAAATAATATCCAAACTGAATGGAGAATCTTAAGATTCATTTCTATTGAAGTTACCACAAATAAGCAGTACAAACTAAAGTGTTTTTTTTTATTAATTTGTTGTTTATATCATTATCAAGTAGATTGAGATTTGTTAGGTTATTTTAAATTTATTAAGAAAATATTTATAAACATAAAATTAACAAACTTTTATAGGTTAAAATGGTTAAAATACAAGGTATTTACATGTGACTAGTTTAGTTAAATAACAAATATATATTTATATATATACTCCTGTGAATCTTAAGTTTTCCTTCCTTCGACTCAGTCTTTATATACGGTTTATGGTGTTTAAGCTTAACGATAAATTAAATTGGCAAGAATTAGTAGGAAACAAGAAGCTGAAAGTGTTAATTGTGTAGCGTCATCTGCCGATCTACTCTCTTCGGCTCGTTGTCTATCCAATTCGGCTGCAGCTTCAGCCATACAGAAATCGGCGCATTCCTCTTCATTTTTGCAAATGTCGCACATTGAGGTTTTACGACCTCTGTAGAAAATCCTCGCATGTCGCGCTATTAAATTGATTACAACGTTAATCCAGCCACTTGATTAAAAAAAATTAGCTATACTTACAGCTATCGTAGTAATCATAAATAATAACCGGAACTGGTTTTTGGTTCACGACTCTATGGGTTTGGTACGCAGATATTGTAGGACAGTATTCATGGACGGTTAAGTTATTAAAGTAAAGGACAACGGTAGTATAATCATTCTTTGTTTCGACTTTTTGCACGTTCTGAGAAACCTCTAAGCTTGGTAATGAATCGATGTCGGCTGTAAAACCGGAAGGAAAGTGGACCTCCATTATAGCCATATTACTCTCAGGAGTGTCCGTCAAGTTTCTCGTGACAAATCTGAAATGAGCACCAAAATTAACTTAAGTCTACAAATTGGATTCGTAATTACTTACGCAGTACATATAGAAAGTTGCAGATGGTGTCTATTGGAATTCTTGTCAACTTGTGGATCCAACGTAAACAGGGGCCATGGACCGGTTACATTCATGTTATACTGATATGAAACTTGGAACAAAGCTAAACCACTGCCCGAAGCTGTTACATTTACAACTCTCGCTTGATCGCCGATCTTCAAACTCTGTACAATCATTGCATTATCCCTGTTAATATTGAAAGAACTCATTTCCTGCTCTTTAGATGAAAAGTCAATTTTCATATTTGAACTGCTGGAAAGCTTTAAGACCATCCGGTATAAAGCAAATAATCCAATACGAGTATCTTGCGAAGAAGCAAAGCCTCCTAAACTGTTTCTTTGGCCCACTAGCCATTGTAACACAGGCATTGCATCGCTAATCAAATTTGCCTCGAGCAACGTTAAAAGAGCATACGAAGTAGCTTCGATGTCGAGAGATTTTGGTAACGTGTGCCATGGATTCTTGTTTTCTGATTCCGGAAATGATTTACCCCACCATTTCATAGTTTTATCTGTCTTTGATTTAGATTCTAATAAATTGAAAGCGCTCAATCTGGATGGATGATTGGACAATTGAAGTACGTAACTGCAGATCGCTACAGTATATTCGGAATCTTCTTCATCGATATATCTGGCAATATAATCCAATCCTTTGTTGATGACATTAGCATATTTCGAAATTGGCACTTCGTTCTCGATGAAGGCGAGAACAACAAAAGCCGTTAACGCTAAACTTTTGTCGTCTGGAGTTTGCGCTTCCTTGTGGACAACGGAAGATTTCTCCACGAAGCTACCATTCTTATTTTGCTTATCGCTCAACCACGAGAAAGCGTTATCAATAATCGCTTTATCGACGAATATGAAATTTTTAGCTTGAACTAAAGACATAGCTGTGTACGCTGTTATCCAAATACTTCCAACTTCTTTCTCCTTTCCAAAGATAGTGAACGAACCGTCTGATTTTTTATACGTCAATTGTTGTTGATAGCTAGTTTCTAAATTATTAACTGCTATCTTCTCAATTGGAGGGGTCAATTGTTGTGTACTTTGCAAGTACTTGAGAACAATCAAATCGGGGACAAAATTAACCAAATTTTGTTCGGATGAAGCTGTGGGCAAGCGAATGAGTTGGTCCAAATTAACAACCGTTGCTCCTAGCAAATCTCCAACCACAGAAACTTGTACATTTTCAGAATCGGGAACCACATTTTTTGGTATTTCAAATGTTACATTTCCCTTGAATACATTAGATTTCGTCAAGTCGATTAAAATCGTTTTAGTAAAGTACAAAGTTTCCCCTTCGGCCTAAAAATTGTAAATTACAAATTGTAAATTGACCAAGAAAGCTATTATGTTCACATTACCTTGACATTTAACTGGCGAATGGTAGTATCTTGATTACTCGGACTGTCTGCCGTGGCTTTAATTTCAACTTGACCAGGTCTACTGGTCTTGATGAAAAATGAAACCGAACCGCCGCTATTTTTCTTCACACTGACGCGTTTTCTCCGATACAATTCAATTTCTGCAAAGTAAAATCATTTGATCTATAAAACTTTTAAAAGTAAAATATAAGGCAAATACTTGGCGAGGTTCCGTTAACTTCATTAGAGATTTCCGCAAAATAGAATTTGTGTTCTTGATTATGTAAAGTCACTTCCGCCGTAATATCATTATCCAAATTATTGATAACGACGACGGGAACTTCTAAGATTTCTCCTCTTTGGACTGAGTGAGGTAAATTGATTGTTACGGAGAAAGGTTTCTTTACTTTGATGCGTCTTGGATTTGTAGTTAAACCTAATCCGTGTAACGGGTTCAAAGAAAAACCTGTGATGGTCCATGTATTCATGGAGCTTGGTACGCGTCGTTTGATGGATGTTTTACCATCATATCTAAAAGAACAAAAAAAATAATTTTGTGTTTTTATATATTTCACAAGAGATAGTACCCGGATGAGAAGTTATTGAAAAGCCAAGTGTCGTAAAGATGATCCGATAAATATACTCTGGGTTTATCCCAAACGGGTCTTGGGATACGACTGAAGGCATAGGGACCTGCCAATGGAGGTCTTGTAACTGTATGAAAATTTAAACCAACGCCTCTATCGGGTTTAACAGTGCTCGAATCATAAAAAACTGGGCGTAAATAAATGTCTTCCACTGAAATAAAATATATAAAATAGAAATATTTAATATATTAGATGAAACTTACAACTTGGCCTTCTACTAGTCACTAAGCTATTGGTTAATAAAGAAGTTCCCGATCTCTATAATTATAAAAATATTAATTTATAAATCATTAAACGCTTGTTATATACCTACATAAAACATATCTTTACTGTTGCTCGAACCTTGTTTCCAGAAGAAATTCGCTTTGCTACCCTTCATTAGGAAAGCATACGGCGACAATTCAGAGGGATCATAATAGTCCAACTCTTCGGATACTCCTCTTAAAGTTAAATCATTACCACCTTTTAGCGATAGTATTTTTTCATCAATTGCCATCAACCCAACATACGAATTAGGTTGAGCTCTAATTGTTAAATCTATATCAGAATCAGGACTAGCCTCCACCACATTTGTTTGAATATCAATCTGAAATATTAAAACATAGTATATGTATTTACTTTAAATTTACTAATAATTACAAAGTTTTGCAAAAGCCCATCAACATTGATATCAATGGAATCCGATATCAATTCACCATCATCTCTGATGTAACTGACCAAAAGATGAGATGTTGGTACCATTGCGTGCGTGGCAGTGAAATGAAATTTATATTCCTACAAATAAAATTTTAATATTTTTATGATTATGAAAACTATTAGATATACGCACCATAGCGTTATCAACTTTGAAAGTATTAGCAATTATTACATCACCTCTACCAATTAATTCATATGTAATATACGTCATTGGTTCGGTACAAACTATTGAAACTTCGACGTCTAAATTGATGATGGGACGTTCCGTCTCCAATAAGATTTGTAGAAAATTGTTGCTGAAACTAACCGCAGCAGGGACAGGCGGAAGCCTCTCTTTCAAATCATAGTATTGAGCCTACGATAGATAATACTTAATAATTCTTGAAACTAAAATATTTGTAAGTATATTTACGTCTATCCTTAAAGCGGTTGTATTGGTTGCATTCTTCGGCGTTTCTAAATCAAGTTTGAAAAATCCGTTACGGTCCAAAACAACCTTTTTTGTTTGATATACTTCATCAGCTCTCGAAAACCCATGTCTTATGGTGACTGATTTTCTGTCATTCTTCAATGGAGATCCATCGTGATTTATAACTTTGATCTGTAATAGATATTACTCAGCAGATGTCGACGGAAATAAATATCACTTACAAATGTCGTATATTTTAACCCAGGTTTAAAATAATCGGCGGTTTTAACAAGTTCCATTTTGTAATCGTATTTGTGTATTTGAACTTCGATACTGTTATTTTGACGTCTTCCAGTAGCTTCTTCCTCGATAATAACATCAACAATGACATTTCTCTCGTACTCATCGTTGAGTTTCAATTCTTTGGAAATGTCAAAATTGACGGATAATGAACCATTGATGGGAAATACTTTCCTAACTGGAACTTGGTATATGGGCTGTATAACGCCGGAAAATATTGTAGGGTAAACTGTTACAGTTGCGTCGCCTTTAACTTTTGTACCATGGCTATACCTAATTCAGGCAAAATTAGTTCAAGTTTAAGTTTGATGTCAAACACTACACTTACAGTGCTTTGATATTCGCTGTCAAGATGTTTTCTTGGAACGTGATATGCTTGGGTACGTCGATATGAATGAGATATTTAGGAACGATGTATTCGGCAACTTGAAAGGTTTTATTGAATATTTGCTCATGCACGACCACGGAAATGTTCCAATTTCCCAAAACTGGGCTCTCGCTGAGTTGCAGTTCGTCTCCATAGACGCCTTTAGGAGCGTTAATTCGTTTCCATTCCTTTACTTTATTACCAGCACCATCCTAAATAAATTATTTTCAATAAAATTATAATTTGTTAAGTTCAGACGAAATACCGTGACGTAAACTGAGACAGGTTCGTTTCTGACATCTGCTGCAGGTTTCAAATCTGGATTCAAGATTAAAGCCCTAAACAGCACTTTATCACCAGGTTTGTAAACCGCTTTATCGGTCTGAATGAAAACCGAGTAGCTCTTCTTAACAAATTTCAATGGAGCCGTGGACTGAAACTCAACGCCTCCTGTCCCTCTGGCTATAATCTTATAAAAACCTTCCTCGATATCTTCAATCTACAAACAAAAAAGTACATAATTGAAATGATCTTTGGAAGGCTCTTAAAATCTACCTGAAGCGTAATAATGCTAGTGCTGTGAGGTAAGACTGTTGCGGAATCTTCGACGGAATAAGAGCGACCATTTAAAGAAGTGCCCACGACTGCGACTGAGACGGTTGTTGGTGAGGATGTGGATTGAGCAGAGACGGCGACATGAAATTCGCTGTTTGGGCGTAGAATCTGAGGCCCGACCACCTTGTAAAACCTACACAACGAAAGTAAATATTGAAAACGAAAAACAGGAAGAAAAAACATTAACCACAGGCATCACCGAAGAAGCAAATGGAAGAATCGTATCGCATAATTCTCACACGATGTTGAAATGCGAATACATTTGAATTTTATTAATATGATAATATCAATTATGTTAATCGACTTAATTATTTCAGATAGTTGATTTTAATCCTACTCAATGCTTTATATTACACTAATATATTTTATTAATGCAGTCTTCCAAACATATAAAAAATAATGGTACATAGTTCTTTCTATCTACAAGGAAATCCGTCTGCCAAAGCCCACAAAGATTTTTTTTAGCAATTACGGTCAACAGACTTTTGCTATGGTTCTTGTATTATTAATATTTTTAATTCTATTTAAAAAAATATATGAATTTTGTTAATAAATGTGACGATAAAAATTATCATATTTATGTTTAACATTATAACATTTACAGAGTAAACGACAACAAAGCTTGTTATTTTATAACAAGATTTGTCGGAAACGTGATTCACGTTGTATCAAGTATTAATCATAGCGACATTGAATGCATTTTCATTGAACAGGAGGACAAAATAGGAAATTGGATGACAGGACTTGGAATTCAACCTTAAAAAAGTATATTCCGAGAAATATCGTCCTTGTTTCCAAATAAGAAGATGACAAAACACTGTTTTAAAATTGATTTGTTGGTTTCGTCACTATTATTACATGAAAATCTTTGCATTTTAAAAACCTTAAAGGAAAGAAATTTCACTTCAAGAATGCAGTGTATCTCTTTACGCTTAAATAGCAGATATATAATTAAATAAACATTCACATATACATTGCAACTAAATACACTATGTACATCAGCTATGTTTATATTAGTGGTATTATAAATTGTTTTTCGATGACGAAAAAGATATTATTCATTGGATTTCTAAAACGAGAAGTTGAATTATCTCGTCTTCTACTTAAATAACTACAACGACAATTAATCAATTATTTAATATTAAATTTATTACGTTGCTACTATTCTTTATTAATTCAAATTTGATTATTTATTTTTATTAAGAATTTAAATAGTAATAATGTTGCAACAATAAAATGAAGTAAGAGGTCAACTGTTGTCAAATTAACAGTTAATAAAAATAAAACATATTATTGTTGTTACTAATTAATTGCAATAGATTACACAATAGATTGAAATAATTATTAATTGATTAAAAATATATACGAACATAATAATAATAATTAAAAGAAAGTGCTATAAAACATGTGTGTCGCATTCAAAAAAAAAGTAATTTTAAAGATCGCGTGGAAAGGAACCAGAATAAAACCTGTTGAAGATATATGATATATCACTTTCTTCTTCATCGTATACAATCCATAATAAATTAATAACAATAATTAATTATAAACAAAACTTTCGAAACTAATGGCATTTAAAATTGTGTGAAATCAGATGTATCGTATTAATATTTTTTAGAAGATAATAGAGATTGTGTAGATTTTTCATGGAAATTACCTTATTAAAAATTAAATATAGATGTATTAAGTATAGTTTTCTAATAAAACGTTTAAAAACGATACATTTGCTAGTAAAATCCAAAGCCTGTTATTACTAGTCACTTTACATAAATTAACTGACTTAATGAATGTAAACAGTATGTTCATAATTACTTAAAGTAATATCATCATAACAACTTTTCCTTGCTGTTATCATTTTCTACGCAGCATTGCTCCAGTACATTTATAATGAAAAGAACAACTTTGATTTCCACTCTGTTTTTTTTTTCGAATTATAAATTTCCTTGTTAAATTGAAACGATCGTGAAAGTTTTCACTTACAGTGGAAATTTGCATTCGATTAGCATTAATTCACTTGCGTTTTATGCAGAGTTCGCTTTCTCTTAAATAATCTTAAGTATCTGTATAATAAGTCTGCGTTGTGTGTTTTTTTAAGCCGAACTCGAGTAGAGCCAAGTGGAGACGCGAAAAATGGGATTTGAAAGTGCAAATGGAAATCAGAATTTACGTACAGTGAAATAACTAGTCCGAGCCAATTTATGAGCAAATTCGAGTATGGTAGCTATTAAACGCTTTCGCTTAGAAGACTTTATATGTTTGTTTCGTGAACATTGCTATTAAATTGCAAATGTATTGGACGATGATGTCATGATTCTCCTTCGTTTTTGTGATTTTGTGGCTTTTTTCTTCATCTTGACTTTCAAATGCAAACAACTATTTTATTTGACTATTTTTAGACGAGATTATCGGAACAAGGATATGAGTAAGAAAAAAAAATAACTTTACCCTTCGGCTCGTACATATCCTTGAGTTGCGCACAGGAAAAGGACAATAGACAACCATGTATCCATTTTAAACAATTTATTTGTTTATTCTTTTGAATTTTCTATTGCGTAGTTCATAAACACATTGTCGCTTTTGAAGTTATTGGTGATGCTTTTCACTGGTTCCGGTCAAGTTTCGAATTTCTTTCCGCGTCGCAATCGCGTTGGTAACTGAGATATTCACGTTCGCGAACACAGATTGCGTTTACTTTGCACTTGACAGTGTCACTTTTTCCCACCTGAACAGATACAACCTTGTCTCGGGCTCCTACAGAACAAACGGCGAATGGTTTTACGCAATCCTTCCACTCCGGACATTTCGATAATCATAGGCTCATTTCTGGAAATTGCGACATCCATTCACAACAATCTCACAGTTAGCACAAAGAATTAAATTGGTTCTTCCATTTAGTACAAGGAGCGCCTTCTATACAAAGAAAATGAATAAACTGTTCAATTTTTGCCGTAACTTTCTTAATAATAACTAATACAGAATTTTATTTAATCTAGAATAACCTGGTATTGTTATATATATATATATTTAATAATATTAATAATAATTATATCATAAACTATATTTTTAACTATTAAAAAAATATTGCAATTATATGTTTATAATTATTATTACCCTTGACCAAAAATATCTATTCAAAGAAATCTATTAAAAAAATGTACAAGAAAGAAGAATATTATATTTTCATATTGCATCTGAGAATCTAATTTAAAGTAAATGAATTTATAAGTTCAAATGGTTTAAATGTTTCTATTAATTCTTAGACTTATGTATATTAGATTAAGTGTCAGTTTATTTTATTATAAATTGAGCTCTTTTATATTTCCTTGGTAAAGTTACGATAATTTATTAAAATATCTTAAGTAAAATTTTTTATTTATAATAATTCTACAATTATATTCATTAATTGAGATATTTTCTGTGTTAATAATTTTCATATCTAAATTAACTTTTTAAGTTTGATTTTCAGACGTAAATAACTATAAAACAACACACTGATTTAGAGACTGTTTACTGGAAATCATATGTCCGTATCTTTCCTAGTCTTTTCTTAGGAAAAATACCATTCTGTCACCAAATAATTAAATTAAATAAATGAATTTGAAAGAAGTAACTATTCTAATTTAATTTATTTATAGTTTATACCACGAGTAAAGTACAGTTTACTAGGAAATTTTGGAACGGATTAAACTCGTTAAGCGAGGGCTAGTGTTTGCTGTAATTAAAGTGATTAGGACGTGTCCAAATTTGAACTATTCGTATTATTAATATTCCTGTTTTGTTCACATCATACAATGAGATACGTCGTATACATAATAATTAATACAATTTTGTATCAGAAAGACCACCTGTAATATGTGCCTGGACTTTAAACTCTTAAATTTAGTAGAGATCTCCGATTCGGTTCAAAATGTAATATTATCATATATCTATATTTCACAATAATATAGTGTTTCGTTAAGAAAAAACGATGTTTTCTTCAAATGACTAGGAATATAAACTAGAAATACGTAGATTATTTGTGTAATAACATCACTTCAATGGAAACCAAATGCTATACTTGAAGACAGACTTTTTTTAAGTAAAGAAAGTATTAAAATTTTCAATTCAATCTGTTTGGTTATTCCATAAAAAAATTATATTATCTGTGATTTTAAGATATTTTGACCTAATTAAGGAACGTCATAAACCATTTAATGCGTACGTTGTGGAATTGATTCCCATGTATAGAATTACTCAATGAACTCAACATAAATTCCTGATTAGCACAAAAATACGTTCATGAAGGCAATCATTGTTTTATGGTTTTGTTTAATATTAGCCAAACACTTAACTATACAGAATTTTCGTGCAGTATAATAATGTAATAAAAAAAAACCGAGGGTAAATACTTAACACGAAAACGATTTTATTAAATTCGTGACCGGAGACACATATATTGTACAGCTGCTTAGCTACTAAAATACTAATAATACAAATTACATTATGTAATAATAGAAAAAAGATGCAAGCTTGTCCGAATTATTCCAAAAGGAGACTTTTTTTAATCAATAATAATTTTCAATTCAATATTCTCAACGAAAGATTACGTTGAGAAAATTGAATTGAAAATTCTGAGTTCTGTACTACTTTTTCATGAACCGTACTTTAAAAGTACGCATTTGCATCAATGGACATCGAGGAACATCAGATGATATTCCTAACAAAAATCTAATATTATTAGTTTAATATGCGTTAGGTTGACACTACATTGATGCTGTTGCAATTATTCATAAAAACACTCATGTTTAACAATGAAGTTCAACTTTTGGGACAATTGATGTTCTCACATAGAAGAAAATTCAGAATTATAGAAAAAATATATATTTTAAAATAAGCCTATTAGATAAGGAAATTAATCTATTAGAATAGTTCTATATAATAAAGTTTATTTCACAACAATAATAGTCAAACAATATAAATAGAAAGAAATATTTTTTGTAATTTTTGCAATAAACGATGTTATTATTATAAATAAATAGAAGAGATCAATTTCAAGTATTTCACAGATAATTGCAAAAAGGGAATTTCTAGATCCGATAAAAGATTATATTAAATAATTAATTGTTCAATAATTCTAGAATTTTCTCGAAAATTCTTATAGATAGAATTAAAAATAAACTCAAATAACCAAAACACTAGGATCAGCGTAGGCGGCTTTACTAAAAAATAAACACTTTCTAAAATCCTTTTACTCTAGAGGATTTTTGGATTACACAATTAATTATAATGTCAATTACATCAAATTATGTAATGCATAAATACCAAATTATTTAGATAGAAGGTTTCCAAAGGCTGTTAATCAAGAGGTCAACCTGAAATTTCGATCTAAGTGTGATGTTATAGTCTTTACTTCACTATAATATAAATTATTTACATAAAGTTTGTAATATTTAAAAAAAAAAATGTTAAAATCAATAATTTGAATTAAAATAAAATCAAATTCTACAACAACTATTTTACAGATGTTTAAAGAAAATAATAATCCGATAAAACAAATATATTTTAGATAGAAAATCTTTCAAATGTTTTTAGCTGAGCTTTGTCCTTCAACAAAGATGAGTTTATTCAAGGATAAACGTATATGGAAAGTTTGGAACTCATCATCTGGAATGGAACACAACTTGAATTTTTATTAAATCTTCTTAACAATAAACACATGTTTCATTTGGTGTTGGCGGCACTATATGAAAAATATTGTATAGTTATAAAGCTTCTCATTCAAGCAAATATAAAATATTTGCGCCTATCTTAATTTGGTACTTCCCAATCGGTAAGATTCCTAATTCGAAGCGCCAGGTTATTTAATTTTTGTTTATTTTGTGAGCTCACAGGGTCGCCAAATTATAATGTTAATTACCAGAAAAGAAAATATTTACTACAATAAGATTCGTACAAAAAGTTTGTATTTATAAATTAATACAATTACTTGTAAATTACATTATCCGATAAAAATAAATGTCAATTTGATATTGATGGTACGAGTTGTATCGTTGATCGAGTTGTACGAAGAAATTAAATTGTTTGTTACTCTAATAAAATGCAACTTTTATTCTGGAAGAAGCTCTAAAACTCAAAATTGAGAATCAAAATGTAACCTAATCGTATTCAAATTTAAACACAATGTTTTTTTTTAAATTAAAACAAATAGAAGAGTAAGAACATATTTACAAATTCTTTCTAGCAAAGTAAAAAAGTAAATATATAAAATGTGTTTCTTTATTATAAGCTTTGTTCAAAATTTAATTTGTGATTTATTGTATTAAATACAAAATAAATGAATTGTGCAGAATGTATTATTGTTTGTAAATTATAGGTTTATCAGTAAATTTTGATGAAAAGGGGCAACAACAAAAAATAACGAACAAACTAATAATTTTATAATGTTTTTTTTTATTGATATTCAGTCGACATTTTACAACAGGGGAAATGGTTAAAACATTTATTATCTTTAAACATTTATATACTTACTTAGACTATAGATAATACAAAATGTGTATGTATAAAAAAGTAATAGCAAAGAAAGTTCAGAAAAAAAAACAAAATATAATATTGATATATACTATAAAAAAAAAGAACAGCAAAAAAACAAATAGTCATAAAATTAAATTCAACAATATAATATATATATATAAAAAAATAAATACAGTTTGTCTATAATATTTATAGATGTTCAACAAAGAAAAAAAACATACCCTCTATTTATGTTCTTTTCAATATTCAAATATGATTTATATATCTATACAATTTATCAATATAATTTGTTTATCATTATATTCCTGTATTTTTAAAATTATTATATAATAAATCTATTGCACTGCAAAGTACCCCACAATTTCTGGACCTCAAATACACTAGGCCCAAAAACTTAAAACATATATTGTATGCATATATATTTATATGTATATGCATGATCCTTGCATGAACTAATTAATGGCCCCCATGTCCAGTACAGTTAATAAGTAACTCATCAATAAAACAAAACTTTAATAATTAATATTAAAACTTCTACGTTTGGGGACATGAAACGTACATAGACTAAATTAATCTATGTACCTAAAACTCTGGCTAATTCATTAATTACATTTTACAATTGATATATTTAGATTGCATTGAAATAGGAATATCTGTGTACAACAATAAGGGCCAGACTACATACATGGATTGAACTAAATTTACTCGAGTCGTAGATAACTTTTAATTACCTATTTCTAATATGTTTCTGTTAATAAGAGATTCTTTAAGCAATTGGAAGAGCTCGAGCTGCTGATCAGATTTCAAGTAAGAGATTTGCGACAGCAACTTTTGCGGGCTGTCACTCTGGATGAAACTGGTAAAATAGACGTTGACAAAAGTCGCCATCAAAAATTGACAGTCGAAACGATCCATTATTCCGCCGTGTCCAGGAATAACATCTCCAAAGTCCTAAAATCATAAATGAAGTAATCAAAAGTGTTTTGGATTTATCGAATGAAGCTTTTACCTTGATTTTGAAAGCGCGTTTGAAACCCGAAGCAAAGAAACCTCCGAATGGACCGATTATACTACTGAATAGCGACAAGGAGAAGGAATGCAGAGCAAATGGAACGATGTTGAAAGAAGTTGGCATTCCCACCTAATCAATAAAAATTCAAAATTAGTATAAATTCAATTTAACTTATTGGAATGTATTTACCACTTGGAAAACGCTGGCAATGCACGCTGGAAGAGTATATTCGGCTGGAGAAAAGAGGGCGCTTGGTTCACAATCGATGGACATTCCACCTCGGGTTTCATTGTAAGCAATAGGACATACAAAATATGGAAAACCGCTCATAAAAGTAGAAATCTAAAAGATAATAATATTAAACATAATTTGATTGCATTGAAATTGTTTGAATGGTGTACCATGAAACCAAAAACAATAGTCGCTACTCCTCCTCCAATAAATCCTTCCCAAGTCTTCTTCGGTGATAATTTAATCAATGGAGTTTTGCCGAAGAAGAATCCAAACATGTAAGCCATAATGTCGTTGCAAATAATCATTGAAACCGGCACAATGAACCAGACTAAACCTTCAAATATATTCTTCATAATGAGATAGGATTGAGTAACGACGATTAGCAGAGCCACATGAGTCCAGGCGAACAGAGAAAATTGTTTCATGTAATATTTCTTGACTAAGCTCAGTACAAACCACACGAAGCCGCCGCAGTACAAGCAGAACGAGATGAATCTGTGGTATGTTACCAAGGCTCTCAAGAAGTCCTACAAACAAAGAGTTAATGGCAAATTCCCACAGCATGAGCGAAATAACTCACCAATCGATTAATGACCACGCCGAAATAGTCTACCAAACTTTCGCCGTAGAAGAAGTAATTGGACGTTATTAGGAAATACCAAGACAGGGATCTGAACCATGGCAGTCCGTGTATTCGATAAACAGCGTAGCCGATGTTAATTATTTCCGCAAAGCACTTTACTTGTACGACTAGAGTCTGCAAATTAAAAGGAAAACAATTATGATTTACGTTCTGCGACTTGCATAATGTGGGAAAGCTCGTATTACAGTGATCATCAAAGCCAGCGGTCCACCGTAGATCACGATGCAGAAGAAGGATATCATTATCAGACTGAAAATGCCGCGGACCACCCAGTTCCTCCATCTGTCCGGTAAACTGTTCAGAACTGTCTCCAAAACAGACGGCGCTTTATTTGTTCCAGTTGGAATTGCATTTGAAAGATCAGATTTAGGTGATTTGTCATCCTCACTGTCCACCTAAATTAACAAACAAACAATATTTAAGAATATATCAACAAAGATATTCAGATGGAAAATACCTATTTATGCTTACCAATAACACGTCAATAAATTTAAACAAATTAATTTGTTAAAGATAAATTATTTGCAAAAATGAAATAATATATAATAAAAATGGTAATGTGCCATTATTAATGCGTAATACGTATGTAAATCGAATGGTAAATTGCCAGTTTTTTTTTTTGATACACGTGTCTAGTTTTTGAAAAGAGTCATATGATGTAGTAATTTTCGTATATGTATATTAAAATTACGCCATAAATTACATTATATAATTAAATAAGTTAAAATAAAGCAAGTAATCTTATTTCAACATAACAAATATAGACTCGTATGATATACCGTATTATATAAATAAGCCAAACTTTCTTTGACCATCAACCGATTTAATAGTTTTCTTTACTTGTTCTCCAGTAAAATAAGAGTTGCCGTAACGTAGTAATAATAATAATAATTTTGAATTAAATAAAGTTAATTTTGTTTGAAAGATTAAAATAATTTATGTTCAATTTTATACGTTAGATAAAAATATATTTATATAATTGAACTAATGATTAATATGTGTTTCATACTGATAAATAATAATTACAATATATAAACACAGACGCAGTATCAATTGAGAAGACAAACAAACAAATGATGAATCACAAAAACCTGGCAATCGCCCAAAATTCATTTTATTCGAAAAATAAAAATGCTTGATAAATAAGCAAATTTCAGCAGAAAAAAATCATCCGTTACTACATCTAATAAACCATCTATATTAACTAGACCTAACGAATAATTAAATACCATTATAAATTAATTCAGTCGGAAAAAAAACTTATTCAGGTGCGCGCTTTATATTGGATTATCCGAGCTAAATAGCTTGCTTGCGACAGTGAACACAACAGACCTTAATGAAATTACATAATATCGATTTCGAGCTGTGGATGAAAAAGGCGAACGGTTTCGCACGGGAGGATTTTCCAGAGTTCCCAGAACGCTCCAAATCATCCCTTCCTCTTTAATAATATTCTCGATCAATACAACCTGCGACCTGTGTCTAAACAACCACATTGAAGCGCATATATCTAGTCGGAAAAAAATGCACACACATTGACAGCTTATACAATTACATATAGAAATCAACATCATTATTATCCGACGATCGATAGACGCGTAAGCGTTCTAGTTAAATTAAATGCACAGGAAAATATTCTATTTTAAGCACAGTTTTATATTATTTGCATTTAACAGATATGTGCAAGTTATTACTCTTCGCAATCCTACTTATTTTGATTAAATAACAGAAAATTATTTGAATTTGTATTTTTTTTATATAATGGCTTTTAAATATATTCAATTTATCTGGCTTTTATGGAATGTACTTTGTAGTACATATACATTCAATTGTTTTAAATGAAATATTGTACTTTCTGGACAGAAACAATAGGCCTCTAATCGAAATTAGGGTAAATAAAAATACATTAATACATAAAAATATAAATGTATTTTCTTTACTTCTAACGATATTTATTAACTAAAAGGTAAACTATATTGTCGTAAATAAATTAACTTAAAAACGATTGGACACAGCAAATTAGACACTTTTGGATTTTCAATTCATTTCTTATTGGCCAGTACATTCTATAAATAAATAAATGATAATAATAAAAACTAAATAATAATAACAACTCTTAAAATAAATAAATTCTAACATAAATTTAAAAATAAAATATTAATAGGCTGGCAAAAGGGCTATTGACCGAGGTCTTTCCGCCCTAATTATTATTAAAATATCATATTATTGAATACAGCAATATCTCACATAAAGCTAGTAGTTAATGGAGGACTTTAAAACTGCATAAAATAAACAGCACAAAAAGGGACAAACGATAATTTTTGTATATTATTTTTTTAGAATGTATTTTTAATCCTAGTAAAACCGCACTGATCGAAACTGTGGTATGCGACGTATTTCTGTATTTTGTTATTATTTAAAAACATGTAAAAAGTATAACAAATAAATAACTACGATATACTAAAAGGCCAGATATTACACTAATACAAAGAAAGATATACAAAGGTGTAAATCTTCAAAAATAAAGCAATATACTTTTGTTTATATTTTAATGAAGTTATCATTTATTATAATACTTTTATTGTGTTATATTTATTAAATCAAATTATTCATCTTATATTTTCTTTTGTTTAAATAATATATTTTGTAAGACATCGTCAACCAAATTTCTTTAATTTTTGGTTTATTTCATATTAGCATATAATTTTAATATAAGAAAAACCTATAACTGTGTACTATGCACCTACTCACATAAGCATACATTATAAAAAAACTATAACAGCCTATGAACAATATAAACATATTACTTCTACCTTTAAATTCATTTACATTTATTGTCGTATTGTCGTAATGTATAAAAAATTAAAACAACTAATTAAATTATGCTAATCATTAAACTAAATAATATAATTGAATTGTTATATAGAAATAGAAAAGTCATGAATAATGAACGTTGAAATAATTTCCATACATTTATTAATAATATCATCAAAAGGTTTACCTCATTATTGTAAATATGATTTTTCAATAACAAATTGAATAGATATGTTTATCATTTTAAGAAGGTTTACTGTTAACTAACAAAAACTGTTACTTCTATAAATACCAATATAAATTGAACCAATATAATATAGAACTGTATATTAATTTAATTTTATGTTGGGCTAAAGCTGATTACAAAGCTGAACCTCGTAGCACCTCGTTTAACGAGCAAAATACATTGTAAAAGCGGGGAAAAAAGAAGTGTCAGATTTGCGCCTACTACATCATTTTCAAAACTTGTGTATAGGCATATTATTTGAATTTTTATATGTTATTTTTGATTTTTTTTGTGAAAAATTTAATAACACTTGCATGTATCCGAATAAAATGCGAAAGAATAAAAATAATCATAGATATAAAAAGCAAAATCATTAAAATTTATATGGGGAAAATATTTCCACTGTATTTTAAAATAATCATATTTGCATTTAAAAGTATTTTTTACTATTTAAAATGACTTAATTCTAAAACATTTTAAAAACTAATACACAAAAAGTAAGAATATATTTGTGTAAGTATTTATTTATACGTTACATCCTTCTGCGAAATGTAAGTCATGTAGCACACAAAATATGCTGGATTAATTTAGATTCTATGAAAAAAGATAATATACACTGTAGTAAAATATTAATCCAATTCTTCAAGGTTGAAGAAAAAAAGCAACTTTTAAACAACAACAAATATAAATATGTAATTGCTTGAACTGCTTTTATCATTTTTTAAGCAGTCATTGCAATGCCTTAAAACCATTGTTGTTCTTATCACATTAACACACAATTAAACACAGCCAGTTTATCACATTACTTGCAGTAAACAATACCAAATAATAAACTATGACAATAGTCAATTGAAAGAGTTGTATGCAATTAAGATACATCACATTATGTAATCTGTGCAGAAAAACAGGATGCTCTTAACATATTCATTAATAGCTGAATAAAAACCTTGGGGTTATCAATAATCAGCAAAAAACATAAAACATTCTCAAGAAAATTTCAACAATAAGCAGGTTCCATTTCCAAATTAAATTGATTTAACTATATGTAATTAACTGTTGGACGTATTCATGCATATTAATGCTTATATATATATATAAGAGTATTTTAAGAAGTCTGGTCTAAATAAAAACTTGTTTACAAACAAAAAGGGAAAAATTTAAATATGCGAAACAACAGATTGCGATTTGCTCATCACTAAAGAATGATTTCATTATATATTTTAGTGAAGACGACTTTATTAAAAATTTAAAAGTAATTTTGTTGGTTTAGTAAAGACCAAAAAAATAGAAATTAATAACTCACATTGCTGTCCGCTGACTCCACGTTATTTTCTTTGGTGTCTTTCCTCTGGCGTATCTCTGACATGATTAGTTAATATTGGATTTTTTCTGAATTCCTGTTAGATTTTCTGGATTTAAAACATTCCGCACTCATATAATTAGAGCACGAAACGTATCTGTCAAAACACTGACAATCCGAATAGGATCAATAGATATAGCGCATGTTGCCGGCTCGGCATGAATGAACAAAAAATTATCGATTTCACGTTTTCACTTCGAAATCCGCCAAAAAAGGAGACTATCTTAAGTACATACTTGAAACTTAATACGTAAAAATCGCGTGAAAAGAATATTCCTGATAACAAACAGGAAATTATAATTTGATATGATATCACTTTTGTGGCAACGTTGCCTAATTCCTAGGAATATAACTTTTAATTTTTTTTTCTTTATGTAAAGAAAATTACAATTAATCAATATTGATTAATAAAAGAAAAATATTTAATCAAAATATATATTTATTAAAGGGCATTCGAATTATTAACAAATTTATCAATTTAAATACCTACCTATATTATCGACATTCTTTAGTTGTCAAAGGTGCGGCATCCTAACCTGCAAATCAAAACAAATAATAAAATCCACTTGAGTAATGATTCATTAACACAAAATGAAGATTCTTGTTTACGTATTAGTTATTATTCATCTAGTCAGTTGTAATAAAGATTCCTTCACAGAAGAATTACTATTGAAACCTCTTTATGCAAATAAACTATATTCGCATTTTCAATTCACAACAAAATGGGATGTGGATGCTACCTCCGATTCCAGTGAGTATATGAAATGATAGATAAATCAATTGACGTTACAAATATTTTCTTTTCAGTGTTCCATACGAATTTATTTCCAAGAGCTATTAGTGAGATTGTTGTCAGACATAATATCCAAGAATTGCACATTAGTTTAACTGCCGGCTTGTGGAGGTATGAGACTTGGGGATATCCTGTTGTTGATGCTGCCCCTGGTGCTGAAGTCTGGGCTTGGTTTAATCCAGACACTGAAAATGTTGATAAAAACTGGAAAGAATTAGCTAATTCATTATCTGGCTTACTGTGTGCTTCTCTGAACTTCATTGATTCAACAAATAGTATTAATCCTGAAATATCCTTGAGGAATAGTGGTGTTGTACAGGGCCAAGTCAACAATACATTCCTTCGTTATTCCTCTCTGCCTAGAGAAATAGTGTGCACTGAGAATTTAACCCCATGGAAGAAGTTGCTGCCATGCTCTTCCAAAGCAGGTATTGCTTCACTGCTGAATGCAGGATATATTCACAATACACAATACCACTCTGTTGGTATAATGTTTCGTCCAATTTGTGCTGACAAAGCTTGTACCCGGAAAGCAGTTGAACTGCAACAAACAGTATCTTTGGTGTATGATTATAAAATGTTGGGTAACAGGCAATGGACTTTGCGTAGATTGTTTGGACAAGGTATTATGAATGCTTGTCCTTTGGCAAAAGAATCTTCAATTTATGTAGATCTTAGCAATGATGATAAATTTGATTTAGAGCCATATCCACATGAGTACATAACAGCTTACAGGGGTGGATATGAAACTACTTATGCAAAATATGATATTAAGCGAATTAAACCAATGAGTATTGCTGCTTCATATGAAGGTAAAGAAATAATCAATGTAAACATTCCTCCACCACTCTATGCTAGTCAGTATAAAACTGGATTTGGTCAACAGAATGGCGGAATCATTACGAAATTATATAATAATCACTGGGCTGATTTGAACGTCGTTGTTTTACAAAATTTTCCATGGTACGTTCCTATTTACTTACATACAATGAAGATTGAATCAAATGGAAATATTTTACAACCGACTGTTTTGAAATACAAACCTGGTAAGCTGCGAGAAAAGGCTCATTATTTGGAAATTGGTTTGAGACTTCCACCCAAATCAACAATTTCCATATCTATTGACTTTGATTATGTATTTCTGAAATGGCAAGAGTACCCACCAGATGCCAACCATGGCTTTTACATTGGATCAGCTATAATTTCGGCGATGTTACCTCTGGCCAAAAACTACACTGGAATACCACAAGATGGATCGACGATTGCCGATAGCTTCAACGCGTCTAGGAGTGGATATTTGGTGCAGATTAGAACCGAGACAATGATTATTACATTACCAACACCCGATTTCAGTATGCCTTATAACGTTATTTGTTTAGCTTGCACTGTGGTAGCTTTGGCATTTGGCCCTTTACATAATATCACCACTAAAAGACTTATTCTGAAAGTAACTACCAAAAAGAAGTTAAGTGAGAAATTGAAGTCGTTTTTTAAAAAATGATTGATTTGTTTGTCTTCTACTTTTGTTAATAAAGGTGATTTCTATTTATATTTTATTATATTTATTTCAATTTACACTATAAACACACATTCCTAATTATTACATATAGGAATTGCTATTCAGTAACACTTCTGTAGTTGTTGCTTACATGCAAATATACATTATTAATAATACTGCTTAAAATACGTAATGCATATTTTTGGTAGTTATGTTATATATCAATATTGTGTATATAATCAAAATAAATTAGTATATTGAAATTATAATTAGAAAAATAAAACATTTATAATTTAATCATTGTGAAAAAAAGTTGCGCTGCGACACGGCATGATATAAATATTATATATTCATATCATGTTTTGGTGCTCGGTCTTTTCATAAATAAAAGTGAACAAGTAAAATATACATTCGACAAATAATATCAAGCAATAAGTTACAGATCAACGATTTTCCATGTGATCATAAGTGCCTATGTGTATTTATTCTTCTATGTATTATATGTAGAATATATTTCATTGAAGTCGTAGATCACGAATATAATAAAAAGTGCAATGCATATACTGAACAAAAGTTTCATGTTTCAAAACACCTTTAAGTTTAAGATAATTTATTAAATTTGTAAATAATATAGAATAATAATAAACAAAAGTAGTAATTCTAATAAATTGTTATATTATATTGTTTTATTTATGATTGTTCATACTTTGCACCTAGACAAATAACTAGAAACGGTGTATTATTTCTAATACAATGTATCAGAGCAAAGAAACTATTTTAAGATTAAATTTAAAAATGCCGGGTAATAAAAAATCATTTCTTCATGGATAAAAAGTGTTAATATATTTGATTTTCTATTAACATGTGCTTCGTGAGTCAGTGATCCAGAGACGTTTGAATTTGCTACTATAAACTGCAAGTATATTTATTTTAATGTAAGAAATGGGTAATTTAATATTAATATTTTAGATTTATTTTAACATCGAATCTCTATTTCACTCAAATATCAAAATCAATTTTATTGCGTTAAACATAATGGACGTAAAAGATGTGGGTATTGCAGGATGGACTTTTAATAAAACGCGTAAAGCGAGATCAATTAAAGGAAATACATCGAAGAAAATTATGAGGATAGAATTCTATTCCTGCATGCAGAAACCTAACGAATCAGTTGTAGATTTTATTATAAGGAAAATGGCCGATTACAAGAAATTAATAAAAACTTCGAATGAAAAGCAACTACTATCGGTCATCCAACGACTGTTGTTGCCAACCAACTCAACTTGGGCATATGAGCTTCATATAGTAAACGCCAAGGATCTGCTTTTCGAGGCATTGCAGAGAGAGCGTCAGCCTAATATGGACGAAATCCACTTTAAACCAAATTGCCATTATTGCTCGGAAGGACATTTTTATGATTCGTGTCCAGTGCTTCATAATGTCGAGGTTATGAAGATAGGAGAAATTTCTGAAAATAGGATACATAAAGATTTGATTTACATTTCTCTAAAAATGAATGACATTACGCATTTGGCAGTTGTAGGGATCAAAACTACCCATACTTTTGTTAAAGATGGCTTGATACTCTGTTGTCCAGATAGCGTTCTCGAATACACGGTACTTGACTCTGAAGGTTGTGATATGTTTGCAAGAGGTCCACACACTGCAGTTTTTGATGTAGATAATTTTCAAATTGTAAATACGGTATATGAAGTAGCGAATTTGGAAGTGGATATTATTCTTGGTAGCGATTGGCTTGCGAATGTCGGAGCAATAATTGATTATGAACAGAACTGTATTTACTTCAATGAATGGAATAACCTCCAGCTAGAATTCCTGAAGAAGAATCAATAGACGGACCTCTTTTAATTTTTTAATGCTGTACGAGTTTTATATAAATATTGTTATGACTTAACAATCATTATTGTTAAACATTATATACGGATTTATATCTGTATAACTTTTGTGAAAGAATTTGTATAAATATAGTACTATATTTTAACCATGAACATAGTTGACGAGTTTGAATCTCATATGAAAAAATCATTAAAAAGGTGCGAGAAATAGCGCAGCAATTATTGAAAAAAAAAACAATTACAGTTTTTACAATCTGTAGAATTAAAATATCGTTTTTAAATTTGTTAATAGTCAAAAACAAACCATTTTATCATTGGATTTTTTGTAATATTGATAATCCGTTTTTAATTGCTTTTATAAAAGTAATTTTTGTATAAATCGAATTAATTGAAAATACAGAGGAACCTTGCTTAACGAGTTTAATCCGTTCCAAAATTTCCGGATTTTTACTCGTAATATACACATAATATACGTATACAAGTTTTAAAAATGATGTAGAGGGCGCGTAATCCGGGACTTTTCTTCTCATCGTCACTCGTTATGCGAAACGTCGCTCGTTAATGCGAGGTGCTTGTTAATCAAGGTTCCACTGTACATCTATTGAATAATAAAATTAAATTATATTTTTGTGTAATTAATGCTAAGTTTCGTATTGGGAAATAGAAATTCAGTTCAGGAAACGTTGTATTTGAAGATGTAAGTAAAACGTCACTAATAATAAGTAAGTAGTACTGGCAAATCTTGAATCAACAAATATTTAAAGAAGATTTGTAATTTCAGTAATATATACAGGAAGATGAAAAAGCCACGATACAATTATTCTTTCCACTCCTCTCATTTACTGCCCTCGATGATCGTCAATATGCGTTCGGATGTAACTGAAAAGTGAAAAAGCGATATTATTATAATTTTATATAATATGTATTTTATATACATTTACGGATTGAAGTAATTTGTACATTGCTTTGATTTTCTTATTAACTTGATAACGTAGAAATTGTTTTATAATTATCCAATGACTGAAATAATATTTCCAAATCATCTTCTACATTTCTAATTTCTTTAATTAAATGAAGATTTATATCAATTTTGATTTAAATCTCTTTTGGCCTTATTTCTATCCCTTTCGGGTTTATCGGCCCACACAATTTTTTGTTGGTTTTTGGGAATCGAACCAACGATACCTTCTGTATCAGATTTTCGTGATACAGGTGACCATAACCACACGAAATGGGGCTTGATATAACTGACTTCATTATCAGAGCTAATATTCCCATGATTTTATATTAGATTTGTTCATTTGGTTGCATACATTAAAAATAAATAATCATTATCAACGCATTACATTATTAAGGCTATATAAAAAATAATTGAATAAAAATATGAAGTACAAGTAATCGAGAGCTCAATTGTATATTTTAAGCCTTGATAAATGTTTTTTTTTCTTATTTTCTTGCAAAATGTAAGATTTGAAATGCAAATCAGAGGAATTAAAATTGCTCGCACGGTATGTAAGACCTTAAGGAAATACTAATGAATCAAACGTCAACCTCTATTGTTATTACAGCTGACTCATTTGAAGGATAATCACTGGAGCAGAAAAAAACATGGTTAAAAATATTTTGTTCCAAAGTTTCGGGATTCAATTCGTTCGAATTACAATTATCAGCATGTATTTAATTAGGAAATAAATAAACGTTTTCGAAATATATACAATAACAATACGTTCGTTCGCACTTTCAAAATGTATGCTAAAATCGAAATTCTAGTAACGCCAATTCAATGTAAATTTATTACTCTCTTGCTTAGTATGAATTAATTTAATTATAATAAAGGTGTCAGAATAAAGATAAATTTAATATGTAAGTTATATTATTTACTTCATTGAAATTACTATTCAATATAATATTTCTATAAATATTATTGAAGAATAAAAGATAGACTACGGTCAATAGTTTAGTAAAGTTTATAGGTATTCCGTGAAAATTTGTATTGAAATAATTGATAGTAATGAATGTTTTTATTTCTAATTTTTGTAAATTTTCTTGATTATGTGTTCTTACCTACCCAAGATGTTTCGTAAACATTTCAGGATTTACAAAGTGTTCCGTTGAAAGAAAATTTTAAGAAACCTTTGTTTAGTATATGCATAAGGGCATATATGCAAAAATTATATATATTATTTTACTAATTTAACTTATAATAATTACTAATCAAAATATTTTTTCTACAAAACAGATGTATAATATAATTAATAATATTTTAAGAACGCAGTTCCTCGGTTTTAACATATAACGAATAAAAAATTCTAATGCAGCTAAAAAATACCTTATGTTTGAATTTATAGATTATCTTCATTACGCAGTTGATAGTCTATATAATTATGTCAGTTCAGCAGAAAATAATTTAATCCAATATAATTACACATGCATTTATGGAAATTACGCATTCGTCGTTGTTGTTAGTAATTTTTGAACTCTTAAACTTTTTTTAATGTTATTTTGTGGTAATACTATTAAAAAAGAGGAAATTTCGTTAAAAATTGAAGATTGATGTAATATAAATAAAATAAAAATATTATTTTTGACTGTCGAACTTTGTACATAATAGGACGTATATAATTGTCTGAGTATAGATTCTAAGACGGACTTTGCTTAAATAAATTATTAAATTTATATTCATTTTCACGTGTACTCGTAATATTTTGGAAATATATGATATTTTAAAATATAGATGAAGTCGTAATACAATATTACTTAAAGTGTGATGTTTGAATTCATATACAGTGTTACCTCCCTTAACGAGGATTTTGGTTAACGAGCAAAATTAATTGTAAGAAAAACGTTTCGCATAACGGGTGACAATGAGGAAAGAAGTCCCGTATTGCGCGCCTGCATTTTTAAAACTTATGTACACATATTATGTGTATTTTTTAATATGTTTCACTATACGAGTAAAAATCCGGAAATTTTGGAACGGATTAAACTAGTTATGCCTTATAAGTTATGTCTTATAAATTATATAAGACAAGATGAAAAACTATGCACATACACATTAATAATATTCTTATACAGTGGTATCTCGACATACGAGTTTAATTCGTTACGTAACGTTGCTCGTATCTCAAAGCAATTTTTCCCATTTCCATCATGCGAGGCGGGGCGCATGTTGGGGTCGTGCGGTGTAGTGTGCGATTCCTCGTATCTCAAATCTTGCTCTCATCTCAAATCAAAATATCTCTCGCTCGGCGGCTCGTATCTCAAAACACTCGTATATTAGGGAACTCGTATATTGAGGTACCACTGCAAATCAAATGCAATATCAAATTAAAACTATTATAAATATTTATGTATGTATTCGTATAAATTCATTGAATTTTAAATAATATTGTTTCATACAGTTATTTTTATATTCGAATTTTCGAAAAATATTTATTTATCGCTTTCTACTTTATTTGATACTTATATGTATTGAATTTTATTTTTTGTGTTACTTAGTTTAAAAACTACAATGGTTGTGTCAAATTGAATATCATAGACAACGATGTTTCGAAAAATAGAGAGTACATGTTTTAAGAATCATTTGTCTTTGTCTTGATTGTATATACCATAAATACCTCCCCCGACTTACGAACTCTTGGACTTACAAACAAAATTATAAAAGCTCTAACTTGTTACAAGGAGAAATATAGTGATACAAAAAATGAACTGTCCAAACAAAAATTGATAATTTCTTTAATAAAATATAAAATTTTGGAAGATGTACTATCTGTTTTCTAGCATTTATTATTTTGTCATTTCTTTATTAAATAATTGTCATTGAAAAGTATTTGTAAGTAAGTAAGTATTTTGTTTATTTTAATCTATATTTTCAAATTTATGCAGTCAGTAATAAGACTTACGAACAACCCTTTGGAATGGAATTAGTTCGTAAGTTGGGGGATACCTGTATATTATAGTATACAATACTTTAATTAAAATAGTTTGAATACAAGGATAGTTTTAAGAACAAATAGTTTAAATATGCGGACATTTCTAAGCACATGAGCATTAAATTGTTCATAGAAAGTTCAACTCCAAACAAGTATGTTGGATCGAGGCAAAAATGTTGAGAAACACTGTTTTTTAATATGCTCAAGGGTACAAATAAGTTCTAGGACAGAAAATAGAGAATCTAACATTACATCTCCCTCACAGTTCTGTATTCTTGTGTACTTTTCCAACTCTTAACTTCCCTTTAAGTGTGTCTTCCGCAAAACAGGTCCTCTATTTCATTTTTAAAAAGAAATTTTATTTGTTTTTTTATTAAGAAAAAGTTTTTGAATTTATTTTGCTACAAAAAAAGATTTATTTTAAATTTCAATGCAATACCAATAGTTTTTGTAATTGTTATTGATTTTTCCATTTTTTTTTATTATTCCTTTAGAGTAGTGTCTGTATATTTTCGGTGAACGAGGAGGGTTTCCAAATAAAATTCGTAAATCAATTAGTTTTAATTATTTTAAACTCGATATAATCATATTAATCTATTTTGCAATATAATTATATAATATTATATTCAAATGGTTTAAGTCTGTAGAATTTTTGGACATTGCTGCAATTACCTTTCATTATTAAATATTTTATGTTCATATATTTATATTTTATTATAAGAATGTGCTATGCAAATTGCAACTCAATAAATAAGTTGTAATAACCTTTGAACTGATGTCTAGACGAAGATTTCTATAGGCGATATAGTATTGTAGGTTTACAAAAATACTTAAGATATAAACTTGAGTTGGTTGCATCATTTCAAGTAAACATTATTAGTACATACTTAAAGATATTTGATTTCGTATTTTAAATAAGAAGGAAAATTTTTGCCAAGCTGTTTGAATCGATAATGGCCTTGATGATTTAAGGGTCTCATAAACGTCAACTGGACGGCCAATCGTTGCGCATTTTTCAGTGAAAAATCACCAGAACAAAATTTGGCAAACCAATTTTGACTCTGCCTTCCTTTCAAGGCTTTATTCCCATATATGGCACATAACTTCTTGTGTGCTTGCGAAGCGTTATCGCCTTTTCAGAAATAATACAATAAAATATGTCTATTCTTCCATTCTTAAATTGTGATATAAACAAAACTAAATAACTAATCGATACAATTTTTATACTAAATTAATGGTAGAAGTCCCAACAATAAGAAACTAATATAAGTTAGATGCTTTGAACACGTGTGCTATTGACAAAATCCGCAATTACTTAGTTGCCAACCTAATATTACTTTGGTGAAGCACCTTTGCATAATAAAAGTTAAGAGGAGGGTAAGCGTCTCGCTCCATGGTAAAAAGGAACAAGCATTAAAATTTGTTTGGAGTGAACCAATTAGTCATTTCTTCTAGTAGAAGTAATCTTTTTTGAGAAGTAATTAATAAGTTTACTTAATCAGTACACATAAATTTAGTATGCATTATATTTTATATATTTTTAATTGAATAATATTAAATACTTGAACTATTGTCAGTAGCCTTTTGTTGCAGTTAACTTTTTGTTTCATTATTGTATGAGTTTGGTTTTTAATCCAAGGACGACTCGTCCTTAAAGGCCTCTGGGGCCGTGCTCTACCAATTATATAACTTGCCCAACAATTGTATTCAAAAATAAATATATACAAAAATTAAGTCTGGCCTCATCTATTTCAATTGTATTATCGGTATTAGTATCCAGCCCCTACTGGATAATTCCACTATTGATATAGATAATTATAAAATAATCAAGAACAAACGAATTACGTAATAATACTTATTTTTGAATTCTATATAATTGTTACTTATAGAATTTTTAATAGTACACCTAATTAAAACTATATTTATCTTATATAATATAATATTTAGTGCTCCAAATATATTTTGAAATAAAATTATTAAGAGATAATCATTAAATATTTAAATAAATGAAATTAATATACAATTTTAACATATAATAGCCAGTGATTGAAGTGATTAAAAAGAATTTCTAATTGAGAATTTCAAAGTGCTTTTCGTAAAATTGCGTCGATTATTTGATATCATTGTATAAAGAAAACGGAAATTAATCACTATTTGCAAACAAGTTATTGAATAACAAGTGCAGTTATTGTTGTCGGTATATTCTAGAGCGCGTGTGATGTGAGTAATCAAACACTTATCTCCTCGGCCCATAAGAATATTTATGCATGAACTCAATCTTGAGTCTTTATATTCGAAGTTTAATGGATTAGTTGTAATGACACATGTTTTGACTTTCTCTGTTATAATCTAGTGATGATAACAAGCAGAATTTCTGTTCTCGGTATCTTTTTGTTGTTGTTCATTTCTTCGGCATAATCAGTTTTACTAGGAATTGGAATTAGCTGTTTTCGTGGTCTAGACCATTGAGACGAAGCCCCACCATAGATGATCGCCTTCCACTCGGGCAGCATAAATACTACGCTCGGTCGTGATCAATTCAGTCGATTTTTGAAATTGACAACAGCAAAATGGTCAGTGGAATTGTGCTGGCTGCCGCCCTTTGCCTGGCGGTCGTCCCAACCGTACTTCCGGCCTACGTCGGAGAAACCAAAATTGTTTGCTACTATGATAGTACATCCTATTTCAGAGAAGGTAAGCTAATCAAAAATACAAGTAAAAAGTACGCAAATTTTGTATAAATAATCTTTGTTTGCTTTCAATCTCGAAATACACATAAAAAAAATAACTCACTCAAAATAAAAATACACAAAGCATTCCGCTCATTTTCGACTCATGATAATGCATCGATTTGTCGAATGTTTTATTCTATTTTCAATTCACCACTGTACAGGGGAAAATCCAATTTAATTTTTGTATTGGGAATATGATAATACTGTTTCTAGCACTCTCTAAACTCGAACGCGCTTATTTTTTTCGTTATGCTAATCACCTTACGATCATTAATTGTTAATTTAAATGTCAAATATTTTCACAATCTTATTTATTGAATCGTGTAAGATAAAAAAATGTTAATACCCGTTTCTTATTTATAATCAAATATGAAAATTAATTTGATCCAGTTTGATTTTGTTATATACTATTTATGTCAGTAGAAATGTTTACCGTTATTTCAAACTAAGATCAACAAATTTATATTTATTTATATTGAATTACCAAATATTGACTATTATATCATATTCAATAAAAAAAATGTGTAATCATTATCAATTTAAATTATTATTCCAACATTTGTCAGTTATGCAACTATTTGTAGATAATGTTGTTGACTCGTTGTTAAACTTTTAACCTTTACATTTATGCAGATAGAATATTCCATGGAAATATTTACTTAAATAAATCAAACTCAGACTAATTTTGATACACGTTTTCAACATAATATTTGTTATTTAAGTATAACAATACATATTTTATTAATCTATTTTTTAAATGAGACATTTTTTATCAAATTAATGTAAAATATAACAAAAATATTTTTATCTATAATAATATTTTTATCATATTTAATAATAAATGTTAATGTTATTTTCAAATGCAAACTGGAGGTTGCGCTGCAATTTGGCCTCCAGTTTAAGGCTAACGAATAATTTTAAATTTATTTGATGTAAAATATTTACTTCAAGATGGTCTTAATCAGTATGTGTATACGTAATTTTCTCATAATAATAATATTGCTATATGTGACGAATTGGAATTTTTATTTTTACAACAATAAATATATTCAAACACATTGCTTTTGTTCATTCCCAATGGATAATTTGCAAAACAAATTATTTTCTAAATAAAAAAAAAAGTAATGAACAATTCAGGCATGAGATACGTATTGTTATTATAATCAGCTTCTGTCATGATTCATTTTCGCATTTGTTTTTGTAAATATTTATTATTATTTCTTCTATTTATGTTCGCACCATTTCAAGAATTTACTTATGCTTATCTACAATGGATTCACTTCGCGTCCCACGAAAAAGATTCTCAAATTGTTTAGCCTTGGCGATAATTGGACATGATTTTCTAAACTGCGCAAGGTGACATAACTCAGTTGCTGAAAATAGAAAGCGAGATGTACGCTCTTCGTATTTTTTATAAATATTATTATTATTATTGTTGCTGTCGTACGCAAAGAGAATTGAATAATATTTAGTCGGTAATTTCGATTCTTATTTACTGTTGTAATTGACATGCACGATGTAATCAGCATTGTGAATTACCTACGACTGCAAATAATCAACGGAACGGACAAAGTGACCCCTGATTCACATTTGTCAACTGACACTGCATGATCTCATCCAATTGCATTTTATTTATTTTATTATTGCAATGAATATATAAACTGTTGCATCCTACGCACTGAATTGAACAACATGAAATATTAGTTATTTTCTTCATTTACATATATTCTTTCAATTATAACGTCTCTAATGAAACTTAAGTGCTAATAGCCTCACGTCTAGTAAATCAAATTACAACGATACATTGAATATGGTTATGACATGTTTCTCATTTAAAAGTGAATTACATAAACTTATTTGATAATTAGATTTTGACTCTGCTGAGAATCATTACTTATTTGTTAATTTTTAAAAAGAATCAATATTTTAGCAAAAGTTAATCTGAAAATCAAGAGTACAAATACTACTCTTGATTTCAATAATAAAAGTATATCAAACAACGAACAATGTGATATGTACGGAATGAGATCATGCAACGTATTAAAAAGATAAAAATCTTTCTGAATACATCTCGAAATGAAATTCCTTTTATACCGAGAGAAACATTTATTTGGAACGTTCATGTAGATTATATTACGCAGATTAAACGAATTATCTCAGTCTTCTTTTTTGTGTACTGATGCTACCAGAATATTTATATTTTCTGATGGATTGCAATTTAACATCTGTGATTAGTTTATCATGCAAAAAAAGTCAGAAAAGTAATTTCTTCATTGCACATAATTATCTAACATTCAATTATATAATTATACTAAATGAGGCAAATGTTAAATATTTAATAAGAACTGGTATTTATGAATATATTTTGTGTATGAGATTTTAACACCTACACAAAATGGTGGTACCATTGAATCCGTGGCACACACTGTTTAACATTTATTTGTTACTAAATCCTTGTTCAAAGTCTTATATAATATTATAAGAATATTTATTGAAAATGTTGCTATGTTTAGTTTAAACAATTTCAATTAAAACTAGTACCAGTTACGTGAATATAAATAAGTAATTTTGCATTGATTGATTCTAAGACAAAAGTAATATATTTATGAAGGCTGACGAGAATTGAATTACGTTTTTTCCATATTTTCTTTATATAATCCATGACAACGAGTAGTAAGTAAAGTAAATAACTAGGTTAGCGTCAATTATCCACTTCTTTCTTTTTATTCAATAATTTATTACTCGATCTTTCTTTTGCTTTGCATAAACGAGTTTGCCTTGACTCCAGGCAAAGATCTTGATTACAGAAGTTTCTGTGAATTGTGTTGAATATCAATTTGCTTTATTAATTGCGGCATGCAACAATTTTTTTTTGTTAAACTTGGGGATTTACATTTATCAGATGAGGTCGAAGTTACAAAAATTGTTTATGCTTTGATAATCTGCTCTACATTTACTTGTCTCTTCTGACCTGCGATGTCGTCATTTAACATTTATCAACACAAATAAAATTTATCATGTCCAGTTTTATTTATTTACTTTATTTAATGATTTACTGTATTCAGGTCAAGGCAAATTTGACGTGAATTTCCTCGATCCCGCCCTTCAATTCTGCACGCATCTGATTTACCGTTCCGCTGGAATTAACGCCGACTCCTTCAAATTGGTTCCACTTAACGAGAACTTCGATGTTACCAAAGACAACTACAGAAAAATTACTGAACTGAAGAGGCGCTTCCCAACCGTCCGTATACTCTTGAGCGTTGGAAACGGAGATGATGATCAAAATACCGAAAAATACCTGACACTTGTAAGTTTTTTGTTTCTAAATTACATTTCAATTGGAAAAATTCTTATTGCTTTTGTTTTAGTTGGAATCGGTTGAACACAGGTTGGCCTTTGTGAAATCGGCTCAAACTTTAGTGAAATCCTTCGGTTTTGACGGCATTGACCTTGCCTGGCAATTCCCAACCAATAAACCAAAGAAGATCCGCGGTAAAATTAGTAAGTATTTGATTTGAATCGAGTTTTGGTTTCAGTACTGATGATTTGTGATACTTTGTAGGTTCTTTCTTCAACAATTTGAAGAAGAAGATTGTTGGTTCTACTAAGGTCGATGAGAAGGAGGAAGAACATAAGGAACAATTCGGCGCTTTGGTCAGGGAAGTTAAGAATGTCTTCAAACAAGACGGTCTTATTGTTTCCGTTACCAACATTCCCAACGTGAATGCCAGCATTTACATGGACGTTAGGACTATCATCCAAAATGCCGACTTCGTGAACCTCATGGCTTTCGATTATTACACACCAAAACGCAACCCGAAGGAAGCTGACTACTCTGCTCCTCTGTACAGTCTGATCGACAGGAAATCTGACGAAAACGGAAACGCTTTAGTTAAATACTGGTTGGACAATGGAGCCATCAACAACAAATTAGTTTTTGGAATTCCAACTTATGGAAGGGCCTGGAAGATGACCGAAGATTCTGCCATCAGCGGAGTGCCACCTTTCGAAATCGATGGCCCTGCCGAGGCCGGACCATACACCAAGCACGACGGTCTTTACAGTTACCCCGAGGTTTGCGCTAAATTAGCCAACCCCAATAATCTGAAGGTCAGCCAAGGCAAGCACTTGAGGAAGGTTGGAGATCCATCGAAGAGATACGGTGAGAACTTGTTTTTTTTTTTGGTTGTTGAGTGTTTCTGAGTGTGGTGTGTTTTAGAGCTCTGGAATGTTATTGACGTTTCCAAGAGATTCGGTATGTGAGATAAAGAGGGGCTTTCAACAAAACTGTATGACTTTAGATTATTTATTTAATGTATCTATTATTTTAGGAACTTATGCTTTCCGTCTTCCTGATGAGAGCGGAGAGAATGGCGTTTGGGTATCCTACGAAGACATCGACACTGTTGGAAACAAGGCCACTTACGTTCGTGATAAGGGATTGGGAGGAATCGCCGTGTTTGACATCACCTTCGACGATTTCCGAGGCCTTTGCTCCGGAGACAAATACCCAATCCTCAGATCCGCCAAACTGAAGCTCTAAGAAAATTCAACCTTTAACCATTGATTTGTTTGTTTTTTTATATAGCTACGTAACTTATACACAATAATAAATTAACAAATTACCTAGTTTTTATAAACAGAAAACCGGTTTCTCTATAATTACCTAAAAATTACATCCATTCCGTGGGTAATAAAGGTCTCATTCTTTGTCCCTCCGCACAGAATTAATGAATGTGTTAGTTTAACCCCGCTATCTCCGGCTACAGATCTCGTGGAGGCTTAAGAAAAACGAAGTGGGAATAATTAAAGAGCAGAGATTCGTTGGTATCGTTCCACTGAAACGCTTAAAATATTTTAATAACAATTTCACACGTACTTTCTTCAGTTCCTCCTTATTCTTCTTTTCCCGTCCAGCGAAACGCAATAAATCTGTTTTAATTGTGAGTGTAATAATAAAATCTCGCGGACGGGACACACGGTTTTTAATTAATTTCATTTCAGGACAAAGATGGTGATGATGATGATGATGAGAGGAATGTCAAGACCATACCCAAATAGAGGACTTTGTAATTAAAATTTCAAACAATTACGCAAAGCTTTTAGAGAAGAGAACTGAAATAATAAAAATAATAAGGAAGAGAATAAACGTGAGAGATTTTGGTTCTGGCATGTTCTCAAAATGCACACATACATATGATATTCTCTTTTATGTGAAAATCCAGTATTCAAGAACGAAATTATTGATCCATTAAATGAAGAATAATTTAATAATATTGAACAGGGAATTGTAAAAAATATAAAAAATATAAAATATAAAAATTAAATAGCAAATATTTAAGGAATTCGTCAGGTATCTTAAGCAAGAAAACAAATCTATTCTATAATAATGTAAACTAGATTCTTTTTTTTTTATTTACTTTAAATTATAAATCGTGCTCTATCTAATAATTATAATCCTGCTTTGAGCATTAATCAAAAATAAGTTACCTTTATTCAATAATTATAGTAAAATTATTTTTTTTAAAATTATTATAAAACAAGTAAATAATTTCTTGGTACTGATTCTGAAATACCGTTCACATATTAACAATTAGAATAGAAATCTTTCCGCTTTATATATTATTATAAATAATTTTAAATTACCTATATAATAGGCAGTTTTCGTTAGATAAAATTGACTAAATATGTATGGAAGATAACTGTATTATATCGTGTATAGAAATAAAGCATACTTTAATTATATTAGGTATTTCTTTTTATTATTATAAAATTTGCTAGTTGTTTGTATCATATTTCTATCCAGTCTTTACATCTACAAAGAAATCTTGATATAATTATGCGGTCTTCCTGGTTCTGCTTTATACTTACGACAACTGTCCCAAATACATCTACGCAGTTATATGTAGGTAGTACTGGATAATCTGATCTTATATTTCCTAATCATTAACCTCCTTTACAACAATAACTTATCCTGATTAATTGTTTCCTTATCAAATACTAATTATTCTATATTTATATTAAAGGCATCATTATTTTTTTAATGTATCACAAATTAGATTGCATATCTAACTATAAATAATATTAATATAAAAAAATCTATTGAAATAACTATTTAAAAAATAAATAATAACAATTATAATTTTATTATATTGAAAAAATATTTAATTTATGGCAGAAAGACTTTTAGTCCAATAAAAATTTGTAAATAAATATTTTATTAATTACATAGATTTTCCATATATGCACCCGGATGTACTTAACACTATTCAAGAAATAATAATTGAAAAGGTTGAACAGGTATTATATACTTATTCTTTTTTTTTGACTAGACGATAATGATGTGTAAATATAAAAGGCTTAATTGCCACTGCAGTTTAGGTGGAATACACAAGACTTTCATTTCCAAGAAAACATAATTGGAGATATTAATTCCTTATAAATTGTTGATGCATTTAAAGTTACTAATCTCTTCACATGCTTACACATTTGTAATCGGTAAATGTTTGATGGAAAGTGGCTTAAAATGTATATGACATCTGAACGTGACATTTCATATTTATATTGTGATAATTATTTCGTATGTTTGATCTTATTTATATTTAGATAATAGATGATACAAATACAATAAATACTATACAATTACGACCTTCGCTACTTAATGAACAAACTGGACATTTTACAAGAGTGTTAAAGTCTTAATCAGTACGACATATCCTATCGTACCGGTTCTTCATAAAATGTATCTAATTTTAATTTTAAATGTCTTAACACTCCCATCTCTTCAATTAGCATGAACACTATTGAATTTCACCAATAAATTTACATTTGATTGTCACTAAGAGTGACAAGAGACAAAAATGTATGTCAGAAGTACCAACTACTATTTACATATAAAACCAAATTGTGCAAATAGTTAAATATACGATGGTTGTGAAATTGAAACTTTGACCAAATAAATAAATCCTATATAAGTGAATGTGTTTTATTTTGTGTCAAAAATACGTAATTAAATGGTTATTTTTTATAATTTATAATTACGCCTATTTAATAGATTTTGCCAGTTTTCCTACATATCTTAAAATTATTCATTAGTTCTCATAAGGGCCTTATATGTTGCGTCTCATCTATATTTGTTAGCCCAATAACTCTTGATTTAGTTGTTAGAATTTACTTTTGACAACTAAATCATTAATAATTAAAAAAAGAGAAGTTATTTTTGGCTCCAGTTGTTCCTAGCTACCGCTATTGCATTTAGTTTAAGTAACTGCTGAAACTCAAAATTTAAAACCTACTGTTTCCATGTTGATATTACAAATTGATTGATGATACGTCAATAAGGTAATAAAATAATCAATAATTATTGGTTCTAAGTTCAAACTCGGTTCGAATTCCGAGTTTCGAGTTTAATTGATGTGGATGATGTACAACATTCGACAAGTGATGTCTACTGAACCTGGCATAGCCAAAGGCGGTGATTTAGCGCCCACACAAAACAACATTTACACTAACGAACACAAAAGTATAACAGTATAAAGCTGAGGATGACATCTGCTTATTATAACGCAAACGAATTCATCCTAGACCATTCACACAATTATAGAAAGGAAGATTGAAAGCAATGTAGCAGGAAATAACAGTTATTATAAATATTTCCTGCGTAAATTCGAATCAAGTCACTTTATAATACATACATACATTTTTTCAATATATGTGTTTACTAATAACTATTTCAATATATTTTAATTGTAAATTATCGCTTTATAAGCATAGTTTGGTTAGACATTTACTTATTGCATATCTAGTATGTTTGTATGAATTTAAGATCTTTGTATAAAGTATTCAGTATTACATAATATAATAAGTTGCTATTATCATAATAATTGATTACTATTTTCATTACTAAATGTTAATAATACTATAAACATTATCTAATTTAAAACGTATAATTCTGCATTTACACTATGACAAGAGACATAAGTGCTAATCACTATTTACACAATTCACTACATTGACTAATTGGAGATGTAAGTTCAAATTCAATGTTATATGACTTCAGGATAATCAATAGCAATTAATCTGTCTGTCTTGTTTGTCTTTTTAAAAACCATTTACACGTGAATGAAAAATAAAAATATTTTTAATTTGAAGAAATACTGAAAGGAATGTAGGAATCGGTTCACCTACAATAAGTTAAATGGTTTTGCAATTTATGTGTTTACTAATATTCATTTCACCTCAGGACTTTAGCTACATTTAATTTATAGTTAGGACATTCTCTTCTTGTCATCTACTGAGATTGTATTTAACTTATTTCTTTGTTCATCCAGTTATATTACAATTTATTTATTGGTTAATTCATTACATTAGTATACGTTTGAAAAGTTTCATTCATTCATATGATTAAGTAAAAAAATGAATGATAATTTAGTATTTTATTTTATTATATCTAATATTTATTTAATAATACTTTCATAAATAGAATTCACATAGTTATGTACCTATAATTTGATTAATTGAATATTTATTTTCCTATAACAAATAGGCAATTATAATTTGTATTGATTTTTATAAAAACATATTTTTACAGTTTATTTATTAAATATTTTTAAATAATTATATGATTTTTTTTTATAAAATTTTAATATCTCAATTAATAATTAAAAATAAATTATAGAAAATTCAATTATTAATCAAATTATAATCGTTGTATTTCATTTTATCGATATTTGCAAATAATTTGCGATTAAATGTTAATTCATTAATTGTAAACTAAAGTCATATTTCTGTGCTCGTTTTATAAAATTGATCTGATGAATGTATAGTTATTGAATGTTGTTTCAAAAAAGTGCAAGGAAATATTTCTTTAAAAAAATATTAGAGATTTCCTGACAATCTATCATGCGTTCTAATGTTGTTTGCTTTGCGAGTTTACAATTATATTATAGAAATTGCTTACGAAAAAGAATTACAAACCAAAGACAAAATTAAGTAAATTAATTGTTAAAAAATCTATTGAGGTTTTATTTTTCTATAAAATATATCGTATAAGAAACCGCAAAAAAGTAAGAATAATAATTATATTTTTCAAATTTGGATAAAAACTATAGGAATATATTTTTTGAAAGAAAATAATAATATTTATAGTAATTATTAACAAATAATATGATAATATAACATCATCAAATTGTCAAATTGTTATGCCATATTTATTGAAAATTCTAAATCTAGAAATCTCATATATTTTTTTTAATTTTCCTAAAATAAATTTGCAATACAGGGAAACGCAATTATTAAAAATAAATGTAAGTGAAAGTAATGCAGTCATTTTTCGCAAAGGTTCCGTTCCTTTTTTTGTTGCAATTTCGTAATACAGTCCAGAAGAACAGTGCTTCTAGTTATTATACTTTTAAAATGCATTACATGATTGTTCTAGTAAACACGCCATAATGCGTTTATAAATATGTAAGCATTTACATTCGCGTATGAAGAAGAATGGAGAGGAACACAATAGAGTTTTGTTCGTTTTCGTCTCGTTTACTTCTTCGTTCTCTCTTTTTTGTTCCGTCTGTACGCGTTGGTACCGTTCTAACAAAGACAAGAGGCTTATCTTAATGTATCTTCTAAAGTACGTTTGTGGCCGGTGCACGTAATGCACGTGTTTTCTTGCGATATGAGGCAAGAGGTGAACGCGACAGTCCGATCGCGACTCTCCTCCGTCGAGGAGGAAGACGTTTAAGCCGTACTTAGCTGCACATTAAGTGGCATTTCCGGTCTACGGAAGCACAACAAACACATACACAAACTGTTGTTCAGTTCTCTTGCTTTGCACACACACAATAAACCACGCAAGAACAATAATAACACAGAGACAGCAAAAACGCAGCTCAAAATTTGCGACAGGTAAGAACAATAATTTCATAGTTAATTTACTGCCATTTCATCTTTATACAAGCAAACAAATATAAATTACTTTCTTCATCAAATTTAACAACAATATAATTATCTACACCATACAGTCTTTGTTTTTTTTATATTTAAGCTAATCAAATATCCTTATACTATTAAAGTATTTAGTTTTTCACAATATGCATATTATTTTAATCAAAATAAGTCTTTTCCAAAAAAACACATAAACAGATTTTACAAGTTTTTGTTCCTAATTGTGAAATCAAATCATGACGTGATCGATTTCTAATAAAATCTATTAAAAATCTTTTATATTATGTTGGATTAAATTTGGTGGGTTAACATACAATAATCTCATAGCTTTGCCAGACATTCTATTTAGTAAATAAATAAAGTAATTATTTATATATTTGTTTGATATATATAAATCTGTTTTGTCAAGACATATTGATTTGTAACTTTACGTTTACTTTTTAATTATTTTTATATTTGTGATTGTTTTTTTTTAATGTAATAATAATATTTTTTGAAACAGTAAAATTACAAATTATAAATGTCAATACAATAATATAAATATCATATAACAAAAAGTCAACTGCTTCAAAGGGCTATTGATCATAGGTCTTTCTGCACAACTCTTTAAATATATTTATAAATAAAATTAAATATGAGTGATCCGTCGTTATACACATATGTAGAACTGAAAAATAAAATAAATTTATTAGAAAAAAAGAATTTGGATATATTAATCAAATTAGGAATTTTAAAAATTTTCTTAGTCTGTTATGTTATGTGATACCTACACATCTTTCAGTTTAATTTAATTATTTATTAAAATAAACTATTATAAGTAGTTATAACAGAATTCAAAATAATTAATTTTGATTTTAAATCAGTGGTTTTCATCTATTTGTAAATACCATAGGTAAGCTAAAATTGTAATAATAATAATAACATTTGTTGCAACAACCATAATACAAACTTAATAAAATAACGTAATAGAAAAAAATAAAACTAAATAGGGCAGGAAGAACTATGGTAACAATTTGTAACAATTAATATTTTATTTTACTATTATTATTGTTGTGAATGAAAATGTTTAATTTTATTTTTGACAGTGAATAATACACAAAATATTGTTATAAAATATCTCTAAATTAACAAGCTGATAGGTCTTATAAAAATGTAACCAATGTAAATAGAATAAAAACAGTGAAACTCGATCCGCGAATAATAAAGAAAAAGAAAAAGGGAAAATGCCGTATACGAGCAATGGTGATTCTAGCACAACTTCCTAATATTGTAGCACTTAGAAATTTGCTACAACGTGTAAAATAATTTTAGTGCATTTTTCCTACATTTCTATGATAATGACATTTTGTACTTCAAATTAAATAATAATAAAATTACATTTATTATCTAGGATTTATTGCTAGTTTTTGAAGTAATAAAAAATGTAGTCACATAAATTTAAAATTATTAATATATGCATTTTATTTATTATTGCTTAATCACTTTGAATTATTAATATTATGAAAGGTAGGCATAATTTGTATACATGGAAAATGGTAATAATAAATCTTTAGCACTATAAAATATAGCGAAATTGCGAGTACAAATAATAACTACAAAAAATATAATATTAACGGTTTTAGTAATTTTAAATAATAAAACATATTTAAAAGATTTTAATGACTGTAGTAAATACTAAATATATATAAAATAATATAGTTGTTGAATTTTTAGTACAACTGGAAATTGTTAAAACCCATAAGGATGTAAATATTTATAATATATACATTATTTTTAGTAGTTACCAGTTGAGCTGGCATAATTTTACATGACATTAAAGTTAAGTTTATATCCTAATTAAATAGCTACATGTGCATTTTTTATCGAAATTCAGATTAACTGCTCATTAAATTTATATATTATATATCATAGTTACGCATTGATATCGACGCTATCGATATAAAACTTATGAAATTAGTTCCAGGTCAATTGTGCAATGAAAGGCCAAACTTCGATACAAAAGAAACAAGATTAATTGCGTAATAATCCAAGTGGAACGTACGACAATTTCTTGGGGTAAAAAAGACATCATGAATTATTATCATAAGGAAGATCGTTGAAGATACATTATCAAAACGCGAACCAGTTTCAGTATTGAATAACATCACGTCGGTGCTAACGACATAATAAGAGTAATTTCAAATATCTCTAGTAACTTTTTCTTTAGGAATGGAATAATTGATTGAAAGTAGATTATCTTACCGAAAAGGGTATTGAATTAATTGAATAATGAACCTTAATTCATCCTACGCTATTGCGAGTATGCTTTTATATAAATAAAGAAATTTGTTTCTTAATATTATAAAAAGAAAAAATAATTAATTAACAGATATATTTTAATATATTATGTAATGATTATGATTTTATTAAATATAAAATTTACAATTTTGTATAAAGTATATATAATATAAAATTACATAAACTCATGAACCGCTGCTAGAAATATTGATATTTTCGCATTTTTACTACATATAAATCAGGTTACGTCTTCTATCATTAATAATTTACGCATATTTTCTTTTGACGCTAACTTGCATCTAATTTTAAAATATTTAACTTTGGTTGTTATTGGCATGCATTGACAGATACTAGTATTAATGTAATATCTATTATTCTTTTAAAGTATAAAAGTAAAAATATCAATATATGTAAATTAAGGTGTTCTTGATAATTTGTTGTAATAAGATTATATTATAAAAATATATCAAAAACAAATAGTTTATATGCTTTTAAATAATCATTATGTGGATATAATTTTTTTTGCCTTACACTTTTTAATAAAAATAATGAAGACCGAATAGTATTTGCAGATTATTTTCATGGCACTCATGGCACGATAAGTGTTATTACTTCAGTTTGCATCTCTCGGCAAACTTCAGAGAAGTTAATTTAATTGCTGCTCGAATATTATTTTTTAGTAAGAACTTATAGCAAATAGGAATTAAAAATGGAATGGTTATTATAATATTATGGTAGTTTTTATATAATATTTCATTATTAATATTACATGTATACGTATACATATAAAGTATTAATAATTAAACTAGTTTTTACAAATTATACTATAAACTTATTTATTATGATAGATACTGTTAGTTAATTATAGTTATATAAACTATATAAGTGAGAATAGGAGTTGTATTATCTGAAAATTTCCGTGGCTGTTACAACTCAATAACTATTATTATTTCAGTTTGCTTCACGCAGCAAACTTTACAGAAGAAGTTTTAATTGCTCTTCGCAAATTATTTTAAGAAGTTAAACGTAATTGCAGTAAAAGAACATTATTTCTTCAGTACGAATGATAAACGGAATAGCTTATTTAAAAAAAAAGTCATTAAGGTATGTTTAAATAAAGTTTGGCTCAAAATGTGACTACTAAAAGAAGAAAATAATATACAAGAAACTAGAAATGAAGTTATTCTGATGGTTCAATCAGTAGGTTTCCATTGAATGTAGAAGATGGTGGGTTTTCAGTGGAATGTTTGCTAGGAACAAATACAAAGAAAATAAAGAAGTTCCTGTCGAAAAAAATGTTAACAAAGAAATGTTCCATTAAAAATATTTTTTAGTGAAAATTACTCTGATGATTTAGCTACGTATACTTATACGATAAAACAGAAAAAAAGCACAAACAATGAACTTTACATTCATAATTTATAATGTTAATTCACATTTGATGATACATTTCTGTGTTTGTAAGAAAGCTTTTCATTTTTTATAAAAAAATAACATATCCTCTTTTCGGTCACAATACTTTTACCTAAGACACAGTACTTTTACCTATGAAAAAAGAATAACTTAATGAAGTAATTTTATGGAACATATCCTATTCGTTAATTGAGGTGTGACTATTATTTGCTGATTGATAGATACGACTTGATAATTATCATTATTTCAGTTTGAATTTACCAGAAGTATATTTATTTGCTTCTGAAATGTCATTTAAAATAGTTAAACGTTATTAGGTTTGAAATAAGAATATATTTTATTTAGTAAGAAACCAACGCAAAAGGCAACTGATAAATGCACAGGTGTTCACCTAAACATCACCAAACACTGTTTCGCTTTAATGGTTGATTTATTACTACGATATTGTGCGGTGCACGTCACCCCAAATGCATTTATCGTAGGAAAATGAATTCGTTTCATGGGCAATAAATAAAGCGAGTGAATGTTCGATTCATCTGTGCATAACGTCCGATAGTTACATAACGCGTTTGTCCCTATCTCTTTCACCTGAGATGCACATTTCTTTTGTTCCTTTTTTCTGCTGCTAGATTTCAATTTATTGTAGCAGAAATTAAATGAAGAGACAATGATATTTATTGCACGAAGTACAAACAGCTAATGTAATTCAAACAGACTATAAATATATCATACGAAAGTAATGCAAGAGCAAGCAGAAACAGGAGTAAAATAACTCAGTCAAAATCAATAAACCTCAGGCGGTCGCGATTTAAATCAAGTTTATTCGAATCTTCAGAAACACAATGCAATTTCTGCTTGAATGTTGAAATGTTGAGAATAATTCACATACTCAATGAGATTGCTATTTGGTTATTTGTATGTGTACTAACTAATTATACTTCAATAATTAATGATGATATTAAATATACTTTATTGTGCATATAACTATTGTACAAATAACATGTTCTAAAAAAAATATGATTGGTACATGGGAATGTTTTGGAGTTATAATGAAAACAAAATTATCTTTACAGATGCATTAATACTTTTTAATCATTAATTAAACAAATTTCAATTATTTTAATAATAATTTTACAGATAAGAAATCTTCTACAACAAATAAAAAAATAGCGAGTCACCTTCGACATAGTTTGAAGAACTCGTTTGTCATATAGCAATAAAAATATTTGTATAATGAGATAACATTTCTATTAGAAATATATGTTAATTGA